CGAGCTGCTTTCAGGATTTTCTCTTTGTCTATGAGACTCGTAAGTTTTACTATTAGATGTCGGGGAGTTGACCTATTTTTATTGATTTTGAGAGGGGTTCTCTGTGCTTCCTGGATTTTCATGCCTGTTTCTTTCCCCAAATTAGGGAAGTTCTCTGCTATAATTTGCTCCATTATACCTTCTGGCCCTCTCTCTCTTTCTTCTTCTTCTGGGATCCCAATTATTCTAATGTTGTTTCGTCTTATGGTATCGCTTATCTCTCGAATTCTGCCCTCATGATCCAGTAGTTGTTTATCTCTCTTTTTCTCAGCTTCTTTATTTTCCATCATTTCATCTTCTATATTACTGATTCTCTCTTCTGCCTCATTTATTCTAGCAGTTAGCGCCCCCATTTTTGATTGCACCTCATTAATAGCCTTTTTGATTTCTACTTGGTTGGATTTTAGCTCTTTTACTTCTCCAGAAAGGGTTTCTCTAATAACTTCCATATTTTTTTCAAGCCCAGCTAGTATCTTTAAAGTGATGATTCTGAACTCTAGATCTGACATCGTACTAATGTCCGTATTGAGTAGGTCCCTGGCAGTTGGTACTACCTCTTGTTCTTTTTGTTGAGGTGATTTTTTCCGTCTCGTCATTTTGTGCAGAGGAGAATAGATTAATGAGAGAACAAAATGCTAGCAGAGTAACCACATCCCCAGAAAATATACTCTAAACAAATCAGAAAAGACCTGAAGCAGTGGGATAAGAAAGGGAAAGAGAGAAAAAAGAAAAAGAAAAAAAAAAAAAGATAAAAACAAAAACAAACAAAACAGAACAACAACAACAAAAGGAAAACCAGAATGTGATCAAATATGATCTATATGGTATATAGATCAGTGCCACACACTAGATTTGGGGTGTATTTTGGTCTTTTAGGAGAAAGTGCCTCCCAAAATTTTAAAGAAAGAAAAACTTATATATGTACAAAAATAAGGGTTGATATGATGAAGGGATGGAATATGACTGTAAAAATGGAAATTATAAAAAATGTTATAAAAGGAATTGATAAGAAGTTGTTTGAAAAAAGAAAGAAAAGGATTTAAAAAAAGAAAAGAGAAGAAGAGACAGAAAAAAGGGGAGAGGATGTGATCAGTCAGGGGAATAGAAAGCACCATATACTAGAGATTTAGGGTATATTTTAATCTGTTAGAAGAAACTATCTCAAAATTTTAAAGAGAGAACAACTTATATATATAAGCCAAAAATATGGGTAACTACTATGAAGGGATAGAATATGACTCTAAAAATGAAAAATAAAAAAATTTTTTTTTTTAAAAAGGGATTGATAAGATGTTGGTTGAAAAAGGGAAAAAGAAAAATTCAAAAAGAAATAATAAGACAAAAAGACAGTTAAAAAAAAATTAACTTTAAAAGACTAAAGAATCATGGTAAAAAAGCCGTGAATTCTATGTGCAGTAGTCCTCTAGCGCTGGAGTTCTGCCGTTCTCATTGATTGGTAAACTTGGCCTTGGCTGGCTGTTCTCGCTGATCTGGGGAGGGGCCTGTTGCCGTGGTTTCCAAATGTCTCTGCCGGAGGCGGAATTGCCCCGCCCTTGCCCCCTCCCGGCTAAGTCATCTGCTCGGGTTTGCTCTCCGGGGCTTTTGTTCCCTGCGAGCTTTCCGTACAGCTTTGGAGGCGGAGAGTGAAAATGGCGGCCTCCCAATCTCTGCCCCGGAGGAGCCGAAAACTCGGGCAGCTCCTCAGTGAGCCCCCAGAGAAAAGCCGTCAGTCACTCCCGTCTCCCTGGTCTCCGGCCGCACTCCGTGCTCACCCGGCCTGTGACCGCGCGTTTCTATCCCCGGCACCCAACCCCGGGTGGAGTCTCCAAACCCAGCAGATCCCTGCGGTGCTCTCCCGCGCGGCTCCTCCCGGGGGAGGAAGGGGAGTCTCCCCGGATCTGCCGCTTGTTGGGTCCCTGCTGGAGGAGCAGGGGCCCGACTGTGCCGCGGATCACGGTTTATGGCCGCCCCGAGCTGAGAGCCCGCGCCTGGGCTCCGCCTCTGCAGCCGGCTTCCCTGCTCCGATCCCTGGGAGCTCTGCCGCACTCAGGCACCCCCGGTCTTTCTGTGACCCGAGGGTCCTGAGACCACACTGTCCCGGAGGGTTCCACCCCCGCTTAGCCACCAGAGTGACGTCCCTCGGCGGAGCAGACTTTTAAAAGTTCCGATTTTGTGCTCCGTGGTTCTATCACTTGCCAGAAGCGGCCGACGGAGGCCCCTCTCCCGCCATCTATCCTCCGGAATATCGCCTCGGATTCCCTTCTCCGCACGTCCTACCTTCCAGAAAGTGGTCGCTTTTCTGATGAGAGAGTTGTTGCTCTTCTTTTCTTCGATCTCCTGTTGAGTTTGTAGGTGTTCAGAATGGTTTGATCCCTATCCAGCTGAATTCCTGAGAGGAGACGAAATCCAGGTCTCCTACTCCTCCGCCATCTTGCTCCACCCCCAATCTCTTGGTTTCTTTTTAAAATGGACAAATCTGTTATCAAATTCAGATTCCCAATGGCAATTTATTTTTTTTAAGATTTTATTTATTTACTTATTTGAGAGAGAGAATATGAGCAGGGGGAGAGGCAGAGGTAGAGAGTATCTTCAAGCTGGGTCCCCGCTGAGCAGGGAGCCCAATGCAGGACTCGATTCCAGGACCCTGAGATCATGACCTGAGCCGAAGGCAGACGCTTAACCACCCCTTTCTTTTTGTCAGGTTTTACTTTACTTTCTTAGAATACATTGTCCTAAGAGTCCTAAGAGTACATGGTCGAAAATTACTTGAATTAGTTCTTTTCGGCATGGACTTCCGTTGACAGTTTTATGGACTGTTGGGTTTATTGTTTTTTCTAAATATGTTTAACATGAAGGGTTATTGTTCTCCATTTGCTTTTCCTGTTTGTTTGTTTGTTTTTAAGATTTTTTTATTTTTAAGTTATCTCTAACCCCCCAACATGGAGCTCAAACTCACAACCCGGAGATCCAGAGTCACGTGCCCCACCGACTGAGCCAGCCGGGCGCCCCTGATCTCCATTTGTTTTTATCTAATTTTTTTTTTTAAGATTTTATTTATTTATTTGTGAGAGAGAGAATGAGAGAGAACACATGAGAGGGGGGAGGGTCAAAGGGAGAAGCAGACTCCCCGCCTAGCAGGGAGCCCGATGTGGGACTCGATCCCGGGACTCCAGGATCATGACCTGAGCCGAAGGCAGTCGCTTAAACAACTGAGCCACCCAGGCACCCTGTTTTTATCTAATTTTTAAAAAATATGTGAGACATTTCTATTGCTCAAATATCTAAGCCTTATTAAAAATGTAGATACTCAGGGGCATAGGAAGTGTCTAGATGCAGTATTCCAGGGTCGAACGGTTAAGCGTGTGTGCAGTTTCCGTAAATATTGCCAAACTCCATGCCCCCCCACTATGAGCATAGGGCCTGTTTCCCCACAGCTTTGCCAACAGACTGTTTTCAAGATTTTGAATTTTGCCAGATGGATATTTGAGAAATGGTAGTTTTAATATGCAATTTATGTTGTGATTTGAGCATTTTTTCATACATTTAAAGGTCATTACCTACTTTTTTTTTGGTGAACTCTTCATACACATCCATTTCTCTCTTGGGTTTATTTTTTCTTGACTCCTAGAGTTTCCGACTTTGTTTTTATTGGGCTGTTTTGCTTTGCAAAAGCTTTTTGTAAAAAATAGTATTTATCAACTTTTTAAAAATTACTCTTAGATTGTGAGTCCTTATAGAAATTCATTCCTTATGCCCAGGTTATGAGAGAAAATCATTCACATTTATGTTTTCTTTTTGTGTCTGCACGGTTCCATGTGTGTTTACATTTAGATCTCTGGTGCTTATCCTGTAGGTGAGATACAGATCTGATTTCCTATTTTTACAAGTGGTTAGTAGCTAATTGTCACAACATCGCTTATTAAAAGTCTTAGGGGAAGGGGATGCCTGGGTGGCTCGGTCAGTTGAGTGTCCCAAGTCTTGATTTTGGCTCAGGTCGTGATCTCAGGGTCGTGGGATTGAGTCCCGCTTTGGGCTCTGCTCTCAGAGGGGAGTCTGCTGGAGATTTTCTCTCCCTCTGCCTCTGCCCCCCCCCCCCCGCCGCCCACCTCTCTCTCAAATAAATAAATAAATCTTAAAAAAAAGTCTTAGTCTGTTGAGTCACAGATCTGTACCTCTGAAGCAAATAATACATTATATGTTAAAAAAAGAAGAAGAAGAAGCAGAAGATAGCAGGAGGGGAAGAATGAAAGAGGGGAAATTGGAGGGGAAGACGAACCATGAGAGACTATGGACTCTGAGAAACAAACTGAGGGTTCTAGAGGGGAGGGGGGTGGGAGGATGGGTTAGCCTGGTGATGGGTATTGAGGAGGGCACGTTCTGCATGAGCACTGGGTGTTATGCACAATGAATCATGGAACACTACATCAAAAACTAATGATGTATTGTATGGTGACTAACATAACATAATAAAAAAAAAAAGCAAAAAAAAAAAGTCTTAGGGAGAAATTTTAAATAAATGGAATGTTAAATATTTTTACTTCTAAACATAAAAAGTTACCCCCAAGTGATAGGCTAACGACACACGGCCACTGCGTTGTCCTTCTGGGGACCGCTGCAGACCCAGGACTGGCAACTGGCTGACGGGCCAAGGAGAAGCAGGAAGGGGTGTGTGGAGCTGGGGAGGCTGCCTCCCGGGTCTTGTATCTCCCGGGCGGGGGACTGGCCCATTCCGGGTGTCCAGAGGGACCCGGAATATAGGCAAACATATCCAACACTCTGCCAGCCCCCATGAAAATCGGCAGTGGGAGCCTGCCTGGACCCATTTGGCTCGCAGTTTACATGCCCCGGGAGAGGAGGCTCCAGACGGCCTCTCCCTGCCCCACTGTCCACTGCTTTGGCCGCCTGGGAATGCATTATGCCTTTCTGCAAACTTCAGGTGTATTTATTTTTTCTCTTTTTAGACACCAGCTTGGGATATTTATCCTTACTAGACGCTGACTATGACAGAAGCCCTCCGAACAAATACTTCGCGCCAGCAGTGAACTACAAGGTGCGTTTCCAGTGGGTCCAGTGCCTCTTCTGGGAAGCGAGAGAGTGGAAATCTGCAAGCTTCTCTGCACAGCCAGGAGCGTCTCCAGAAAAAGTGACCTGCAGGTACAGACGTGCTGTTGAAGACACACTCGAGACTTCGAGAGGTGACTGCATTTTCTTCCGCGCGGGGCCGGGTGCCTGAGCCTCCCTGGCCGTGGTCCCTGTGCAAACGGCAACAGGACCTGGTGTGTGCGCCCCTCCCCATCTGCAGCCTGGCCCTCCCTGGGCTGCAGCCTCTAGGAGAGCAGGGTCTGGCTTTTCAGGGCTCACCCCTGAGGTGACAGCTGCAGTAGGTGTCCCCCGATGTCTCCTGAACCGCGCTGGTGGGCGTCTGGTCGGTGGGGACACATCCGCGCACAGTGGGGCTGGGCTTACGCCCGCCGGCCTCTGCGCTGAGCCGGACCACGCACGTGTGGACACTGAGCCATCTGCACGAAGTTATACTTGCTAGAACCTGTCACCCTTTCTGCCCCTCCGTTAACCCACGTACGTGACACTGTAGGCTCGCGGCACACGTTTGGCGTCCTAACCCGCGTCTCCCTCCTAGCTACGACCGCCTTGCGCCGGTCTCTGTCGCAAGAAGAAACCTGAACGCCAGTTTTTCAGTGAGTGACGTTTCCAAGTGGCAGAGGTGAGGTTCACTTTCTAGATCACAGTGGGGTCACGCGGGATGCCCATGTGTCATCCTGCAGATGCCAGAAACCCATGTCACCTGTTACTGTTTTGCATTTTGCAATCTTCTCCGTCTGTACCTACATCCGCAGACAGGAGACGTAAAAACACGAGAAAGTCAGCATACTTTCTGTCGAGCTCAGCTTTGGCTCACCATGAACCTGGTCAGTCAGCGCTCACTCGGTCATTCTCGTCAGTGAGGACACAGTGGTCTGCCCATCCTGATTAGCTCCCTCTTTCTCTTCAAAAGCGTCCCATTTTATCATATTACTATTATTTTTAAAGTTTATTTATTTATTTAAGTCATCTCTACACCCAACATGGGGCTCGGACTCACGACCCCGAGATCAAGAGTCATACGCTCTTCCAACTGAGCCAGCCGGGCGCCCCCAAACTGTCCCATTTTAGATAATAGATTTCAACTCAAGCTTATTTCTGTGGCCATCGTTTTACCTGGAACAGGTGTATTTGGATTCTGGACTGTGGGTTAGTAGGGGTGTGCTTGTGTGGGCAGGAGCCCTCCGCCAGGTCACCCACACGGAGCACCGACCGGGCTTGGTCCCAGCAGGCACGGAGTGTGTGTTTGCTGAATGAACATCTGTGGCTGAGTCTGCATTTCCTGGTGTGCGTTGGGTCTCTCTTATGTTGATGTAATGGGGAACTCTGTCCCGTACCCTATTATTTAATCCATCATCAAAGAGTTGATTGCTTTGTAGACCAGTAAGTGGATTACTGACACCAGGGATCCAGTGAGTGGGGCTCAGGACAGCTGTGGTTTCAGATATGACGGGTGGGGGACAAGCCATCAGGAGAGGGACAGCCCTCGGGATGCCCAGATAAAAGGCAACACCTCGAGTCAGGCAGGGGCAGGTGCATTCTGGGAGGACAGCATCCTTGCAGAGCACCTGCCTGCCCTTTGAAACCCCGTCAGAGTCCCGTAAGACTCCAGGTTAGGGTCCCGGCACTAGTGACTCAAAGTGGACCCCACTCTGCGGGTCTGGAGGGTTCGGTGACCCTCCACCCCCAGGCAGCCATGGTGCCTGGGAGCAGGAGGTGAGGGCCAGGTGCGGCGGGGAGCAGGCAGCCCAAGCACGCAGGGCGGGAGGGATGGGGCAGATAGGCATGGTCGCCAGGAGGGAGGGAGCGTCCATTACGCCCACATGTCCACGCACTTTACAGACATCGTACTCCTGAGTCTTCATCTGAGCAGTGAGATCGGTGTTCTTGTCACGTTTCATCAGGAAAGCTCCTCAGAGGCCGTGAGTGGCAGCACCACATGGGCTTCAGATGTGGAAGCTGGTCTGTCACCGGGCATCTCTGTCCGAGTCCCTGCTCCTGAGTCAGCCTGCAGCAGCTCCTCCCCTGAGGGGCTCAGACCCATCCTAACATGGGGACGGAAGAGGCCACGCTATGCCCTCCACCCTTCCCTTCTTGGCCTCCTTCCCCGTAAGAATCTACTTTCTCCTCCCAGTTACAAGACAGACAGGCATTTACAAACATATCAGTGAAGGCCAGCAGGGGCCTCTGTGTGTGTGTGACTGTGTGTGTGAGTGTGTGAGCGTGAGCCAGCGTGGGGGGCGTTGGTTAGTCTTTGCCTGACGGTTTATTTTCATAATTTACCATTTATTCCCCTCCTTTCGTTTACAGCCACCCGGAGAACCTGCTTCCCAGTATTTTGGTGGTGGTTTTTACGATTCTTTATGCACTTCTGGTTACTAAAAGCAGACGTGTAGATCGTCACGAGAAGAAGAAAGCTGGTTGCATTTTTCTGCAAGAAGATGCTCCCCCCGGCCACCAGCTGTACGCAGTTGTCGTGGACACGGGCTTCCGGTCTCCTGCCCGCTGTAGTGCTAAGGTGAGCGGGTCATCCCGGGACTCGCACTTTGTGGTGTGCAAGGCTGTGGATGGTGGGAGTGACGGCCCCAGACACACCCCTTGTGGAGACTGGCCTTCCCAGCTGCCCCATGTTCCTCCATCCAGAGTGGGGGGCTCCTCTCCCACCTCGTGCACAACCCTGCGAGCCCTCCCCGCCCTCAGGGCCGCCCCCTCGAACCTTCATCTCTCTCCACCTTCTCCGTGGAGAGCAGCCCGCACGTCCAGCCCCACGTGAGGCAGAAGGACCGACGGATACATGGGGCAGATGGGCATCACGGGGGCAGCCCCACGGGAGGAGCAGGGGCCATGCCACAAGATATTCGGACCGTGGCTTTTGCTGTGGAAAAAAGCACTATTAAACCTCTACTTTACATTACATCCCAAAGCAGCTCCCCAAGACTGAAGACTTACAGATTAAAACAAAATTTAGAAACCTCTCGAAGAAAATATGTGCTTTGCGATGGGGAAGGATTTTAAAAACTGGAAATAAATAAGGCACTTCCTTAAATGAACGATTGATCGTGTGTTTCTGGGCCACTGAAGCCGCCCCACTGGGGAGTGGTGAGCCCCACGCGGCTGAGAATGTGGGTCTGCAGGGTGCCTCATGCACCCCAGTCATGGTCACAGCCCCCTGGACGGCCCTCAGGCCTCCCCCGTCTCCCCTCTGAGCCGAGGAAGGAGGACGTGCCCACTGTCTGTCCTCTTCCTCCTGAGACAAGCACATGCCCTAGTGAATCCGAGTTGCCGTCTGGCTTTTCTAGATCAAACATGTAGAAATCCGGCCAGCCTGGCAGGACAGGCGCTCCTTCCCAGGTCTCTCCTGGGGAAGTGTGGGAGGGGCCGTCCAGGGATGGGGTAGGGTGTCCCCTTGGTCCCTCGGGGCTGGAAGGTTCTGGGAAGGCTGGGGCTGGGAGACGGTACAAGGACGCCCCTTTCTGGCTCAGCTTAGTGTCCTGTGTCCAGGATCTCAAACCCCCACCTTGTGTCTTTGTTTTGAGGTTTACATTGTTCTCTGTGGTGAGAATGGGTTTTCAGAACCCAGAGAACTCTACTGTCCAGAGAGGCCCCTGTTTGAAAGGAATTCCAGACATACTTTCGTCCTGAGGTGAGCGAGGCCCAGCCGATCGGTGTGGCCCTATCATGAGCCCAAGGAAGCAAAATGCACAATGTCACTGTCCAGTAAGGAGCGTCGGCGTGCACACGGACGGTCTTATAAAGTCGTTCACGGTGCTGTTTGACATAGATTCGTGCGGGAGGGAGCGAGGACGGGTGTTGGTTCACATGCTGCCGACACTCAGATGGCACGGATCCCGCTCAGCTAATTCGGGTCCTCCTAAATTGGGAAGAGCAAGGACACGTGCCATGCAAAGACCGTGCGCTTGGATGGGGAGGGATCACTGATCGGGAGTCCAAGCACCTGCCGGTTTCAGAAAATGTGGAGAAACTGCACTAAATGCTTTTTCTCCTGGTGAACCTTGTTCACGGTCTGTATCGGTTCGGGTCCCATCTTCACTAAGAAGAGGTGAGCTCCAGACTTGTCCACGCCGGACACACATGCATGATGGAGCTGGAGTGCCCGGGGTTCCGGGGAGCCGGCAGGCATGTGGGAGCTGGGTCTGGGGTCCGCGCCCCATGCTCCAGAGGGGCTCCGTAGGTCACTCTGCGTAGCATGCATGCGTTGATGCGTCCGCGGTGCCCCCGAGGGTGAGAATCGGGGCTGGGGCCGCCCTGCGGGGGCCCCCACCGCACAGACCCTGGCCTGACCATGGCTGCTGTGTGTCCTCAGCGCCCCCGCCCTGCTGGGCCCGCTCCGGAGCGTCCGTCTCTGGCACGACAGCCGTGGGCCCTCCCCAGCCTGGTACGTGAGCCACGTCGTGGTGAGAGTGCTGGCCCCCGGGCACGGGCAGAGCTCGCTCTTCCCCGCCGAGTGCTGGTTGGCGGCGAGCAGGCGGGACGGCCGCGTGCAGCGGGAGCTGAGCTGCCTGCGTGGGGGTCTCGGCTTCTGGAAGGTAGGTGACCAGCCAGCCGCCCGGCCACCTGCAACACCAGCTCTGCTTCCCCCCTGCAGCCGTTTGACTAACCTGCACTAAAGTTAACCTCAGGTGGCCGTATCCTAAGTGATGCCGCGAGCGAGCCTGCGGGAGAGAATGAGTTACCCTTGCCAGGCGTTATTGCCCTGGCGATTTTCCTGTAATAACCATTCACGGAATTTACTGTTGCCTGCGGTCTGTGGAGTCCAGAGGGCCGCTAACTAAAGCCGGGAGTGCCCTGTGTATCCTGAACCCCAAGATGACCAGTCAGCGGTATGGGTGTGATCCGGGGGCAGAACAGCAAGAGATCAAGAAAAATGACAAAATCACCTAAAATCTCACAAACCACCCATGAAACTCGCTCTGCACATCCGGATCGCTCCCCATATGGGAATGTGTTTGATCTAGTTGTGATGACACTTTACGCATTTTGTGCTTCCTAATGTATTATCTTCGTGAATTTTCTTTAGAGACATCGCTGAAGGGCCATGTTGGACGTTGTGATTCTCTTTAGTTTAGTTGTAGAAACACTTTGATGGGGGCTTCGTGTTCCCGGTGACCAGTTTCACAGGCTGGTCTCAGACGGGCAGAGGCCAGTGAGGGCTGGTGTCCTCCCACGTCACCAGATCCTTCCTTCCAGCGTGTCCCTGTCGCCACCTGTCACGGGCACTGCTGATGGAGCAAGAAAGTGCTTGCAGTGCGTGCATCGGCAATATGGAAATTCTTCAGCTCCCCAAAACTGAATGCCTGGCTCAACCAGCTTTCCTTAGACAATTATTCAAAATACAGTCATGTTGTTTATTCTCCAGCTGTTTTGCTTGAGAACCTGTGGGGAGAAATCTGTACGTATTAGTCGGTACAGATATGAACGAGTCACACGGCAGGTCTGATATGAAGATATAATTCTCATGTCGTTAAAACGGTTTTCCCTCGCTGTGCTTCTGTGTTCTGCTGCTCGTCACCGTTTTTCTAGAATAGCCTTGAGCACCGAGTGTTCCTTGAGTTCCACTGAGCCTTCCGAACCCAGTGCTGTTCTGTAGGTAATGTGCCACCCACCACGTGGCCGACGCCCAGGCAACCGAGGACACCCAGGCGGCCCGGCACGCTCCCGGGCTGCAGTGCGCAAAAAGCCTAGTGAAAATGACCTGTGTTGCAGGGAATGTGCTGGGAACAGGGAGGGCTTGTAGACAGAGGCTGCGAGGAGAAGGGCGTGAAGACCCTCAAGGGTGCGGCAGGAGAGGTGGAGGGGCAGCTTGTCCCCGAGCTGCAGATGCCCCAGCGCAGGTCCAGGGCGCTGAGCGCATGGCGGGTGAGGGTCTGCGGGGACCCGGCACCCGGCTGACGAGCTAGCGCCATCACCCGGACCGTCACCGCTTGCCCACCAGGAGTTCTCGCCGTCGGGACCAGCATCTCTCTTCTGGTGTGTTTTAGCTCCTGTATTCAAAGTTCACGGAGTACCTGGAGGATTTCCACGTCTGGACCTCCGTGTACAGTCGGCCGTCCCCCAGCGGCTTCCCGCACACGGCGCGCCTCACCGTCGTCTTTGCCTTGCTGTGCACGTACGCCTGTCTCACTGCCCTGCTCACGGCTGCGGGACGAGAGCAGGTGGGGGCGCTGGGTTCTCCTGGCAGTGGCTTCCAGTTCCCAGACCTGCCGTGTGACTCGTTCTCAGCCCAGGAATTAGCAGGACTCGCAGTCCTGGCGGAAGGGTTCCAACAGGGGGCGGGAGGCAGTGGCCTCGAGCACTGCAGAGGGGATGCTGGGCTGGATGGAGCCGGGGGTCTGCGGGCTGGGGGGCTCGGGGTGAAGCCAGCACAGGCCTGCCTCCCTGACCCCTGCCACGCAGAGCTCGCGCCCTCCTTGTGCCACGGAGTGTGACTTCTCCGGAGGGGTCAGCAGCCCGGACTGTCCCAGAGCACACTCCTGGATTTTTTTTTTTTAAGGTTGGCAGTTATTTCAAATTTTAAAACTCCTCTGGCCAGAAAAGACAGGGAAGAGTTCTGAGGGCCACGTTTGCCCTAGAGATGCCACCCCAGCCTCGCGGTCGCTCTCAGGAGGGAGATGGATCAGCACAGGCAGCGGGAGTGGGGACCCTGCCTCCCTATGGAAGCACAGCATGATTTTGGGCTGTGGGGAAAGAGTCCATTTTGCTTCTGATGACAACCTCGTGGCCACTCAGGGTCCCCCCAGTGGCTGGGAATGTGGTGAGGGGCTCTTTCCAGAAATGGTGTCCAGCAGAGAGCACAGTGTTCAGAGCACGTGTGAGAATAGTAACAGATTGGCGGAACCTTTAAAACCGAGGGACAGGTGCATGGCATTTGAGGGACGGTGATAAATTGCGCCAGGCAGCAAGAAGTTGAAAGGCTGGGTCCAACTGGGACGGGAACGGGCCCGCGGTCCGAGAACCTGAACTCGCCCTCCCCTCTGGGGTCGACCTTTGTCTGATCTTCTCTGCTCACCAACGCGTCGGGGTTACGGACGCCTTCTCATCAGATTGTAGCAAGGATTCAGCCGGGGGCCCACGAGGCGTGCCTGGCAGAAAGTGGGCACGCAGAAAACATTCATCCAATCTGGAAAGATGTGTATATTGGAAAAACAAAAGGATTCCTTGTGAGTTTCCATTGTTTCCAAGGGTTCAGGGAGACAGGGCTTTGGTTAAACACAGGGTACACATTCACATTAAAGACCTTGGTGACTACAGCGGATGCATTCCGGCTGCCCTGACCGCTGCCTTCCTACAGCTCCCGTGGGCTCTCGGTGCCCCCGATGCCGCCGCCGGGTCCTTCCGGACGGGTCTCCTGTGCACCCTGCTGGCTTCTCCCGGGGCTCAGCTCTTGTCGCTGATCTTGAGGCTCAGCCAGGTACAGGCAGCCCGCCCGTGTGCCCTGCTGTCCCGGGTCCTCCCACATGGCGGGATTCCCGCCCTGAACAACCCCCTTCCTTCTGCAGGAAGCCCGCAGGCCCCTGAGAAGAGCACCCTCAGAGGCAGCTCAGGGTAAGTGTGCATTTAAGAACAGCCGGGAAGGTGTTTTCTGTTTGTTTACAAATCACAGCAACAGCAGATGATGAGGTCTCCCCCGTCCGACCCTGCTGGTCCTCTTCAAGAGGCCAGCTTGCGAAGGAGACCTCGGGTCTCCTGCTCCCCGTGTTCACTGCTGTTCACTGCCAGGACAGAGGGCTTCACTCCATCTGCATGAAAGGGGCCGTGCAGCCCACGCCCAGATGCCACGTGGACAGGCCACACTGGCAGCCACGTCCTGGGTCTCAGGGAGGCCCGTCCTGGTGGGGCCGCAGGGAGGGCTATTTCCTGAAGGAGGCTCTCTCCCAAAGAACCCTAGATCCCTCCTTTAACGTCATAACCTGGACTCCGTTTAAATCAGGCCCTCACTCCCGGGGAAGGACGGCAGACGCCCAGAAGACACACGAGGTAAATACAATTATGTTTCTCTGGTGTCTCCCTCGGCCGTGGCCCGGACACAGCTGGTCAGGCCCAGGGGGAGACCCCGAGCAGGGCAGGTCCTGCAGAGAGAGGGGGCTGTTCCCCAGGGGGTTCGAGGCCCACTGTCCGGAGTCCCAGTGGAGGCCACACGAGAAGGGGTGTGGTTGCTGGTCGGTGCGGACGTTTGGGGCACGCATGGTTCCTTGTGCTTTTGAATCTCCGCCTCCCTCCTGAGAGCTCCCGTCCTGCGTGGGCGCGCTGTCCCCAGGCGCATGTCCAGGCCTCAGTCCCCTCTGCTCCCCTGCGTGGGGCTGCCTCTCTGCCCTTCCGCGGTGAGCCCCGCCTGCCCCCTGCTCGGCCTCCCGGAGGGCAGCTGGCACTGCTGTTGGCTGCAGCCACCCCATCATTTCCCACGGGCGCCCCACCACCCTCTGCGGATGCAAATGAGCTGGTCCCAGGGCTGCCCATGCCTCCTCTCCAGAGCCTTCCCCCCAGCCTGAGGCTTGTGGAGGTGCTGGCCCAGCTCCTGAGAAAGCTTGCAAGCCGTGCTGCGGAGGACACGATGCGGCACAGAGAACTGTGGGTGCTGAGGTGTTAACCCCATCCCCATGTTGTCTCCTCCAGGGTCACAGTCTCTCGCAGTGCACCAGGGCCTGCAGGGGGGCAGCAGGTGGCCGGAGCGCGGGCTGTCTGTGCCCAGAGCAGGAGGCCTACGGAGCTAACCCCGGCCAGCAGGCCCCGAGGGAGAAGGGGACCCGCAGCGCTGTCCATGTGCAAGGTGACGTCGGGGCTGGGGGTGCAATGCTGGGCCCCCTCCTGTGTCCTGGGCCCCTGAGAGACACAGGGGCCGCACAGCGGGAGCTGGGTCCGATGAGGCTGGACGCTCTGGTCACATGGACACCAGGCCCACCCGAGACAGCCCTGAGTTTTGTTCCAAAGTGCTGGCCATTTCTGCTCTATACTTACATGGGTTTGCTCACGTCTTTTAAAAAGTCAGGAATAGACCCTTCACTTGCTGCGGAGTAGAGTGCCTAGCGACAGCCTCGGACGAGGCGGTAGCTCAGCGGACAGCCAGCGGGGACGGGGCCCCCGGGGGGGCAGCCAAGCAGCCGGTCAGTGTTGCCCAAGGGGGCCGTCGGGGCCTGGCCGGGCGGGTGCACGTGGCTGTGGGGCCCGGGGCTGCGGGGCGCATGAGCAGCGTGCTTCCCGGCTCCAGGCCGCCCAGGTTCGGGCGCCGGCTGTGGACACTGCTCCACGGACCACAGTTGGCGAGGTGGCACTGGTGGTGGGAGGCAGCCAGGTCTGGCTGGGCTGGTGCACGCAGCACCCTACGTGCTGGGGCGTGGGGTATAAAATACCTGGTTTCTGTGCGCGGAGGGGGCCTGGGGCCAGCAGCCTGCCGTGCCGGAGGGCACACACCCGGGAAAAGGAGACCCGCACCCGACAGCCCAGCACACGCACCCGGCCGGGAGGGAGCGGAGGAGTGCAAAGGGACTCGGGGGAGGTGTCCCCCTTGTACGCGCAGCAAGTGTCCTTCCCTTGCCCGGTGCCTCCTCCCCGGCAGGTGCTCCTGAGTCCACGTCAGCTGATCACCTTCTGCCTCTAGATGGGCCCTGGGGGGTCTTCCTATTGGAACAATTGCCTGAGAAAGCAGAGCTCCATGGCCTCCTCTTGGAGACATGAAATGTGGGGGGGACCCTCCGACTATGTGCTCGACTCCAGAGAACTTACCCAACAGAGCCCACGAGAGGCGGCTGCTACCCACCTGGTCCTCCTCCTCTGCGTGGCCGAGCTCTCCTCCCCCTCCCCTTGCTCCTCCCTCCCCCTCCTCTCTGCTCTTCTCCTAGTCCTCCCCCCACCCCCCACCCCCGCTCCTCCCTCTCCTCCCTCCCTCTCCTGCCCTCCTTGGTTCTTCTCCCGGCTCCCCTCCCTTTCCTCTCTGCTCCTCCCTCTCCTTCCCACTCCTCCCCCTCCTCTCTGCTCTTCTCCTGGTCCTCCTCCCCTTCTCTGCTCCTCCCCTTCTCTTTCCCCCACACTCCTCCCCACCCCCCTTCCTCCCTCCCCCTTCTTTATATGCACTATAAAAACTCTAAACTGTGGCTCATACGTGGCATCATTCTGATGGAGAATGCTGAGTGTAAAAAGCACTCTGCCCTGAGAACATGAGAAAGCGAGGCCCCTTTTCATCCAGGCTGAAGGTGGTGGTTCCCGCACGCAGCCGTGTAGCTGCCGTGTAGACCCAGCTGCTCTGCACAGAAAGGCAAATCTGTAACACCTTGCACAGGGTGTGTGCAGGGGTGTATATATATACAAGAAACTGGCTCGTGCGCTCGCAGAGGCCGGCTGGTCTGATGAAAGCTGGAGACCCAGAAGCCCCAGTGTTTCAGTTCAAGTCCAAAGACAGGAAAAGGCAGGTGTCCGGCTCAAAGGCCCTCAGGCAGGAGGAATTCTCTCTTACTCTGGAAGGTTGGGTTGGCTTTTTGTTATATACCAGCCTTCACCTGATTGGATGAGGCCCACTCAGTGGGCAGGCAACCAGCTTTACTCTGTCCAGCCACTTACATGTCCATCTCTCTAGAAACCCCCTCATGGACACGCCCAGAATACTGGTCACCCAAATGTCTGCACACCCACGGCCCAGTCCCGCTGGTAGAATTAACGACCGCATTCGGGTGGACAGAAGTGATGAGGCCTGTTACGTATACCCCTTCCTGCTCTCCTTTAGCTCCCAGCAGCGGGTTTCGGGGACTTGCTGAGCTTCGGTGGCCACGGGCACTGTTGCCTTGGTCAGGCTGCGCAGCGTGGGCCGTTTGCGGGATGGTCTCTGTGGCCTGTGGCTTAGGGACGGCGTTTCTAGGATACAGGTGAGCGCTCACGGTTTCAGATGTCCCCGGGTCTTTGGATGGGAGAGTCCGGCACTTAGTAAAAAAACTCCCTGCATTTCTGGGAACGCAACAGGCGGGCCCAGATGGGCTGTCGCTACTTTGGTCCTCATTTCTCCCTCCAATGCCCTGGGGGTGAGGAATTCGTGTACAAACCCCAAGGGCCGCTGGGCCCGGCCGGCTCTGGGACAGCAGCTCGGCCTGGATGGAGTCCCTGTGTCACGAGAGGCCGCGAGACCCTCGCTCAGGAAGGAGGGGCCCCGGTTGCGGAGCTCCCAAGAAGCTGGGCTCGGGGTCAGGTGTGCTGGTACGATTCGGACTCTGTCCGTCCACACTGTGGCCTCTCCGTCTCGTTCCCGGGCAGCTCGGGCCCCCAGCGTCCCCGGGGCGGTTCAGCGTGGCCCCCGTGGGCCCAGGAGGGGCAGCTGTAAAACCAAGACGCACCCCTCCCCCCTCCCCCCTTTCTTCAAATGCGCGAATGGACTCACACGATGATGGCTGATGGCGGGCAAGTTGCTTAAAAAACAAACTCCCCGTGACTCAGTTTGCTCAGCTGTGAAATGGGAGAAGTCACAGGGTTTGAGGAGGAGCTAATGCAATCGTCCGTGCCCGGTGCCCCGCACCTGCTCAGTGTTCTGCAGACGCAAGCTTCGTTGTCGTTACTATAATCAGCTCCCCCCGCGCCCCGCGCTGTCCGCATCGCTGGGCTGGCTTTTCCTTTCTCTCGCGCGCTCAGCGGCTTCACGGGGCCGACGCCCCTCGCGACAGACCGCAGTCCCTCCGCTGGGCAGAGCCACAGGGCGCCCGGCTCCGCGGCCGCCTCCCCGCCTGCCGTCCCGAGGACGCGGGCCCTTGGGTGCGGTGTCCCTGTGCGCGCAGGCGGGCGCTGACGGCTTCTCTCGGGGGGGCAGGTTCAGCCCGACGCAGTGTGTGCGCTGGTTGCACCTGCTGACGCTGTCCGTGCTGTGCTGCGCGTTCATCTCGCAGCCGCTTCTGGTGAGTGGGGGGGGGGGGCCCGCGTGCGGGCGTCAGTCTGCGTCAGCCGGGGGCGGGGCTGGGGCGGGGCTGGGGCTGGGGCTCCGGCTCCGCGTTCCTGAAGCGGTAAGCGGGCTTCAGTCTACGTCAGCCGGGGGGCGGGGCTGGGGCTGAGGCGGGGCTGGGGCGGGGTTGGGGGCTGGGGCGGGGCTGGGGCTCCGCGTTCCCGACGCGGTAAGCGGGCCGGGGGCGGGGCTGAGGCGCGGCGGGGGCGGGGCTGGGGCGGGGCTGGGGGCGGGGGCGCGGCTGGGGCTGGGGCTCGGGCTCGGGCTCCGCGTTCCTGACGCGATAAGCGGGCTTCAGTCTACGTCAGCCGGGGGGCGGGGCCGGGGCTGGGGCGGGGCTGGGGCGGGGCTGGGGCTCCGCGTTCCTGACGCGGTAAGCGGGCGTCAGTCTGCGTCAGCCGGGGGCGGGGCTGGGGCGGGGCTGGGGCTGGGGCTCCGGCTCCGCGTTCCTGAAGCGGTAAGCGGGCTTCAGTCTACGTCAGCCGGGGGGCGGGGCTGGGGCTGAGGCGGGGCTGGGGCGGGGTTGGGGGCTGGGGCGGGGCTGGGGCTCCGCGTTCCCGACGCGGTAAGCGGGCCGGGGGCGGGGCTGAGGCGCGGCGGGGGCGGGGCTGGGGCGGGGCTGGGGGCGGGGGCGCGGCTGGGGCTGGGGCTCGGGCTCGGGCTCCGCGTTCCTGACGCGATAAGCGGGCTTCAGTCTACGTCAGCCGGGGGGCGGGGCCGGGGCTGGGGCGGGGCTGGGGCGGGGCTGGGGCTCCGCGTTCCTGACGCGTTACCGCGTTTCTTCATGTTCTCACTGAGTGTGAGGAGGACGTGGGAGCCGTGCTGCCCGCGGACAGCTCCCGGGACGGGGGGGACCTCTCGAAGCCCATTTTCCGTCGAGGACACGGAGCCTGGGGAGCGGGGGGCCCGGGAGTCCCAGGCAGGTGACACCAGCTTGTGTGGGATTGTGACCGGGACGCAGGGACGTGGGGCAGCGACCGTGCACGCACCGTCGGGTCTCTCCTCCCAGCTGGGCCTCGTGGCCGTGGGCTTTGCCTGGAGAAGGCGAGACGACCCGCGCTTCTTCACCGAGTCCCTGCGCGCGGCCACCGAGGGCCTGGACTCTGAGCTTGCGGAGCGAGCGAGGTCCCGCGCGCGGCAGCACGCGAGCCAGATGGAGGAGGTGAGGCTGCCCTCGGTGCCCCGCTCCAGCCCCGTCCGGATCCGCACTTCCTCTGCGGATTCAAATTCGGTTGCAGTCTAGGGTGTGATTTCATCTCTTGTGCTCCTTTGTGTGCGGGACGCGACGGGCGAACACACAGCATCTGTTTCCTTCCCTCTAACCCCATCCCAGAGAAATCAGAGCATCGAGTACATGAGCTCATTTTGCATAATTGAAGCAAAATGAGAAATAGATTCTTGGCCACGGTTTTAGAAAACTTCTAAGTCATTTACGTTTCCGGGGACCCACAAGAATTTCACTTCTTCCCGGCTTCCTCCCTCCGTCTCCTCCCTCCCTCCTTCCTCCTGAGCGCAGTGGTCCCGGTTGTGTGTGGGGCAGGCTGGGCGACAGGAAGGAAGAGGAAGGTCTCCGGGGGGACACGCACAGGCTCATGGCTGCCTCGGTGCAGTGACCTGTGGTGGGCACTGTGTCCTCGGGTGCAGTGAGCAGCGGTGGGCCGTGACCGAGGACGCAGCCCAGTGTCCCGACGCTCAGACCTCACCCCTACCTTCTCCCACCTGACTCCCATCCTCCCAAAGGTGGCCAGTGAGCTCCTAATGACTCCCCTCCTCTAAGTGACCTGTCGGCCCCCCCGGGATGCCGTCGGTGACAGTGACAGGAGCAGACTTCGTAAATGGCCCACTACCCACCGGCCTGCTGTCGGTGACCCGTACGAAGTGTCCCTGTCCCCAGCCCCAGGAGGCACGGACAGCGCCACCGCTCCCGGGGCCTGGCAGGAGTGCCAGAGCTCCCCGGCTCACAGCGCTGCCGTCCCCACAGATGTTGGCCGCCCGACAGCGAGCACGCCGCCTGCGCTGGGCACGTCCACCGTCTGCAGCCCAGCTCAGCGTCATCAGGGAGAGGACGAGAAGAGAGACCCGGACAAGGGTGGCCCTGAGGTGGGTGGCGGCCGGCCGGGCCTTGCTCTGCTCCCGCGGCCCCTGGGAGCGGGGTGTGCAGGTGGGGGCCCAGCCGCAGGGGAGGAGACACTAAGGGGACAGCGGGCCCAGAGACAGCAGGTCTGGAGGGAGGCTGAAGCCGCTCCTTCTGCATATGCTGCGCCTAAAATTCTGGAAAATCCCACAAACATGAAAACGAGAAAAGCAGACAGAAGAGAATTGAGTAAAGTAACAGGTTAAAACACGAAAATGCAAAGCCCGATGTCCTTCATATGCACAGTGAAAGCCAGTAGAGGATTTGCCAGAAGGCTCTTTAACGTGGCCAAGGAATAAAACACCACAGACACACGCGGGCGTCACTGTGAGAGGAAATGCACCAAACTTCCACAGGAGAAGCGTGCGCGTCCTGAGAAGCACAGATGTCTCTTGAACATCACGTGTTCTCCAGCTCCGTCTAAAATCGTGTCTGACTTCAACACAGCCCCGATCAAATGCCACTGGACCTTTCTTTTCTTCCTTCCGCTCCCCTTCTTTACCGGATCTGGTCACTTACGAAGTCCCTTTGGAAGAACAGTGGCGGAGAGCCGGTCGGGAAGACCCGAGGCAGCGGACTGAGTGGGGGCTCGCTGTGCAGGACATTTCCGCAGAGCACAGGCCTCTCCTAAAGAGTGTGGCTCTGTGAACGGACGAAGACGGCCCCGTGGGCCGGGATCAGAAATCCAGGACCAGACCCGAATGCAAATGCCACGGCGCACGAGTCTGTGACGGAGGCGTTATCTCAGCGCGTTGGGGAGAAGATGGAGTTTTTAATGAGGAATAAGTGAATGGTTGTGAGGGTAGTGTAAAAAAACGAACGACCAAATGCTTTTGTCACAAGGTACGCAAGTTCATTCCACACGAATAAAGATTTAAACGTGAAAACAAAACCATACACGTCCCAGAAGAACGTGTGTGTCAATGTATGACCTGTGCGCGGGGAAAACCTCCTGTGACTTAAAATCCAGGAACTAGAAGAGAAAACAAATTTGGAGACATGTAACTTGAAGAATAAAAATCTCGTGTGACGAATGATGCCATAAGTTATGTAAAAAAGCAGTGAGGGATGAAGGAAAATATCTGTAGCAGACAAAGGCCTAATCTTAAAATACAGAGAGGTTCCAGAAAAATGAAGAAGACCAACTGCCTCTTTAGAACAAAACTGGGCTCAGGAAGCCGACACTTCACAGAGAAAAGAAATGCAAATGTCACTTGCACTTACGATGAGAGATCACAAATTTAAAGTACAAAAGTCTGGAAGTGAGACCACGTGCAGCGGCTGGTGAGCTTGTGAACACGTGACATCACGTGGTGCTGGTGTGAATGCAGGCTGGTCCCACCCGTGGGGACCGGGAAGTCCTTTGCATGTCACAGATGCACATACCTCCTCCCAGCATCCCTGCTGCAGGGAGCCCCTCAGCAGAACCCGAGAAGACCCAGGTGCAAGGCAGGCGATGCGGGACCCCTTGTAATAGAAACAGCCTAAACATTGAAGCACCTGGGGGGCTCAGTCGGTTGAGCGTCCGAATCTTGATCTCAGGGTTGTGAGTTCAAGCCCTGCGTTGGGCTCCACCCTGGATGTGGTGCAGCCTACTTAAAAAAAAAATAAAAGGGGGCACCTGGGTGGCTCAGTTGTTTGAGCGTCTACCTTTGGCTCAGGTCATGATCTCAGGGTCTCTGGATCGAGCCCCGCGTCGGGCTCCCTGCTCAGTGGGGAGCCTGCTTCTCCCTCTGTTTGTTGCTCACCCAGCTTGTGCTCTCTCTCTCTCTGACAAATAAATAAGTAAAATCTTAAAAAAAAAAAAAAAAGGGGAGGGAGGAAGAACCAGATATTATGTGTCTCCTGACGGAAAACACATCACCTAGGACGTAACCTACCCCAAATAGCCTGGTCGTTACCTGAGCACATTTTTGTGCCAGCGTGTTTTTGACAAGAGCAGACTGTGTCCCTAGGAAGCAGGACACAGAGAGAGAGAGAGGTAGCAATAGAACCAGTTTTCTCAATAAATAAGCCACAGAGACCAACTAGGGATGGAGGTGCTGCCTCTGGGGTAAAAGAGACACAAGAAGGAAATAGTGAATTGAATCCACGGTAGTACCAGACTAGTAAGAAAAACCATATGAGGGGTGCCTGGGTGGCTCGGTCGTTAAGCGTCTGCCTTCGGCTCAGGTCATGATCCCAGGGTCCTGGGATCGAGCCCCGCATCGGGCTCCCTGCTCAGCGGGAGGCCTGCTTCTCCCTCTCCACTCCCCCTGCTTGTGTCCCCTCTCTCGCTGTGTCTCTCTCTATCAAATAAATAAATAAAATCTTTAAAAAAAACACCCATATGATCATCTCAGCAGATGGAGAAGAAACCATTTGACAAAATTTGACGTCCATTCACGGAAAAGAAAAAAAATCTCAGCGAGCTAGGAATAGAAGAGAACTTCCTTAAACTAATAAAGGGTATCTGTGAAAACCCTACACCTAACCTCACACTTGCCGGTGAGACAGCGTGTGCTTTTTAAAAATCAGAAACAAGGTGAGGAGCTCCCGTCCCCCCAACTCTGGTTAAATCTCACATGGGAAGGCCCAGCTGGTGCCGGAGGCAAGACCAAGAAACACAGCGTTTACAAGTTTGAAAAGAAGAAATACAACAGCCTCTTGCAAGAAAACATGAATAGTCTATGCAGAAAATCTCGAATATTCTAAATAAATCTAAGAAAACGTGCAGAACTGATAGGCCGAAAACGACAAGACACTAATGAACAAAATCAGAGAAAACCTGAAGAAATGGAGGGACACGTCATGTCTGTTGGGACACTCGTGTTAAGGTGTCCATTCCTTCCAACTCGATCTATAGATTCAGTCCCAGCCGAAGTCCCACAAGCTTTTCTATAGATATTGGCGAGCTGATTCTAAAATTTATATGGAAAGGAGCTAGAATAACAAAAACAATTCTGGGAAAAGAACAACAAAGCCAGAGAACTGATTCTACCCGACTTTAAGTCTCCCTACAAAGCCAAGCCACGGTGACCAAGACCCCAATATTGGTGAGAGGTCAGCACAAATGTGCTCAGTTAATTTTTTGACAGGGCAAGGCCCTTCTCATTGGAGGATGGATTTTAAAAATGGTGCTAGGAAAACTGGATGTCAGGTGTGCAGGAAAAATGAACCTCAGCACACACTTCACACCTTATACAAAAAAGGATTTAGAAGCCCAGTTCCCAAAACTGTTTTGCTGGGTCTAGACACCCAGGGTTGGTGTAGATGCTAATTTTAAAATGTGTTTCTTGTAGAGACATCTGCATGTACACCCTCATGCTGCTTCTGCATGTATTTATACTTTGTGGGAGATGCTCCCAGGATGAATATTCTCTCAATCAAGCCATCCGGAATGAGTTTACAAGGTAGGATGTTTTGTCCACCTTCTCTAGACCCCCGACCACCACACTAGGAGTGGTCTGCTCGTGGCCAGCATACGCTGACGGGGGGACCCAGAGACCAGGGTTTCGGGACGGTGGCGAAGCACCTTCTCTGGGCCTCCGTTTTGCAGAAGTAGAATGTCCTGATGGAGAGGACTAGATGGTCGCCACCATCTCACATAGGAAACATGGAAAAAGTGGTCGAATTGACTCGGACATTGTTTGCCCCACTGTTAACAGGAGGCCTCTTTTTGCAGACTTTGGGCACGATCAGAGCATCTCATTTTGATTAATAGAGAAATGATATTTTGAGGCACGTTAAGGTCTGGGCACCAAGACACTAAAACAGGTTATTGGGGTGGTTTTTTGGTGGAGGCTGTCTGAGTTCCTCGACCAAAGACTATGGCAATTTGCAAGAAATGGCACATGATTTCCAACGGTGGTAATTCCCCTTGAGCTCTCTGCCACTTCTCAAGTGCTCATTAGTCTCTTCCTACTTTTAAAAGCAATAGATGTTGGGATGCCTGGGTGGCTCAGTCGGTTGAGCGTCTGCCTTCGGCTCAGGTCATGATCTCGGGGTCCTGGGTCGAGTCCTGCTTCGGGCTCCCTGTTCAGCGGGGGAGTCTCCTTCTCCCTCTGCCACTGCCTACTTGTGCTCTCTCTCTCTGTCAAATACATAAATAAAATCTGTAAATAAATAAAAGTAGTAGATGTTCATTGTAGGTAAGCATGGAAGAACTGAAAAATAGAAAGAAAAATCTCAGTAACGGTACCACCCAGAGGCAACCACGGACAGCATTTTGTCGTGCCAGAATTTTCTCCATGTTTCAGCATTTCTGAAATCGGAACAGGAACTATATCAAGGTGGATACTTTCTTTGTGTGGCATTCTTTTTTTTTTTTTTTGACAGTTGTTTTTAAGTGACTTTGTTTTCACCTGCCAAAAATATTCAGTCTGATAGTTGTTTGAAAGAAGTTCAGCTTTGAGTTCTGAAGTGCATGATATGAACTCATATTGATTCTTTACTATGGCAGAAGTAAAATACAGTGTTCTAAGATTTACTTTCTCTTTCCCTGGAGAATATTTTATTTTATTTTGTATTTTAAGGATTTTATTTATTATTCTGAGAGAGAGAACATGAGCAGGGGGTAGGGGCAGAGGGAGAGGGAGAAACAGGCTCCCCGCTAAGCAGGGAGCCCGATGCAGGACTCGACCCCAGGACCCCGAGATCATGACCTGAGCCGAAGGCAGACGCTTAACCAACTGAGCCACCCAGGCATATCTCTGGAGAATATTTTAAAATACATTCCTGCTTTTTTTTCTATGACTATGTTGTCCTTGACTAAGTAATTCAATTTGATGTACTTTATTTTTGTTGCTTTTGGGGGGCAGAGGTGGGTGGCTGGCAAATCTATTGAATTTTATCTATTAGTTAAAGGCGTATTTCTTTTTCTCTTCCGTGAGAGAGCTGGTGATTAATACCCACCCAGGTGACGGGTGAACAAATGTAGGGTCAGAAGCCACTAGTGAAGTGGTTCATGAGTCTGGACTCTCTGCAAAACACAGTAATGCACCTGCTCACCGGTGAGCATTCTAGCCGTGAAACTGCCTCCCCCTTTGCAGAAACGGCTGTTCTTTCCATGAACGACCCAACTCGTCAGCTTTCCAACCCCCCACGTAGGCACAGTTTGTGCCAGCAGGAGGCGCCATGCGCAAAGCAAAGTGACCATGTGGGTCGTCCTCTCTCGAAACGGAAAGGAAAACCTGAGCTATTTCTGGCTTTCGTCGTTTAGTTTTGATCTCATATTTCGTAAGTCAGCACTACTTGACATATTTCTCATACGAATTCTTGCCTCTTGGTACCCAAATCAGAAATATCGCAGCTGAAATATTTGTGAGACGTGTCCCGCACAGAGCCATTGATAGGCTTGGGATTCATGGCTCAGAGGCTGGCCCCCTGGGTGTGCATGGACCCGTATCTCCTACTACGATGCAAAATGCAAAATCCCGTTACCTCTGGCCCCCAGGCAGGGGCATCTGTGTGTCCGGGTTTGTACTGGGATATTCAAGCTGGACCCTCTCCCCCACCGTCCCCCGGTGCCTGATCCTGAAACTCCAACAGCATCTTAGGGTTTAGAGTTTGCCAGCTTCCAGGAAGAACGAAAGCACAGTTGGATCCAGTCTAATTCAGGGACCTGGCTTCGTTCCACTTCGTTCAGTTAGCAGATGACTCGGGCAAGTCCTCCGACTCTGGTCTGAGTATCCCCATCTGCAAAGTGAGGCAGTTGCGCTGCTTGATTTCTTAGGTCTTCACCAAAAAAATGATCACGATATTGGATTCCGTCATATTCAAGTTTTCTTTGAAGTCTTTCTGGACTCAATCAAGTCTTCATGAAAGTCCAAGTAAAACAGAAACAAACCACCGAATAAAGCACCAATAAATGAAATAGTCACTCTGTCCAAGAGCCATAAATGGGATATAACTACTGACTTTAGTTTTGCAATGTTTCGCAAGCTCTGTAGGCCTGTTTTATTTAATAGTTCTAGTTAATATGGAGCGAGAACATTCTTGGATGGTTTGGCTCACTCCCTGCTCTCTGCCTGTGTCGAGAACAAGGCGTGAGTTGTGCACAATCTGGGCGCGAGACAGCTATCTCTGGTCACATCCAGGTCTTTCTTTTTTTTTTTTTTCTTAAAAATTTTATTTATTTATTTTAGAGAGAGCTCGGGGGGTAGGGGAGAAGCAGAGGGAGAGGGACAAGCAAGCTCTGTGCTGAGCGCAGAGCCCTATGTGGGGCTCGATCTCAGGAGCCCGAGATCATGGCCTGAGCCGAAACCAAGAGTCAGACGCTCAACTGACTGAGCCCCCCCAGGCGCCCCCACATCCAGGTTTTTCTTGAAGACTTTGTTTCCTTAACGTCATCCCACTGAGGAGCGACCGTCAGAAAGTGATATTATCCCCTCCAAATTGTGGTTCAACCAGGGCTTCGCTCAGTGTGCAGCGTATAACCAACACCGTACGAAGGGTCTGCTTGGATTAGGCTCTAAAAATGGACAAACCAATGAAAGGCGGAAGTCATGTGTGAGTGAGTCCGTAAGGAGAAGGAGATAGAAGCAGTAAGATAAGTTAGCTCACCAGACTTACTTCCACGCTCCACGGACGTGTTTGAACATACTTATAGCCCATGCGAATGTTGATTGAGATCATTTGCTTTTCTCTATTAATCTATGCACTAGTGACTTATCGCTAACATGTCACTAACAGGACACTTCCTCCTCTTTGATTTCGTTCCCTTTTATATTGTCCAGTTTCTGTCATGACTGTCAGGGTTTAAAGCACTTCCTAGGTGTCTCTAAAATCTGCCCCAATCAGCAACATAGTATCTGCCCCAACCCCTCTCCAGGTGCAGTGGTAAGTGTAACATGGGTTCTGGGGAGCGACAGCACCCGCCTGTCACACCTGCCTGCCTCTCCCCGTGCTGTCAGCGCTCCCGCCATGGTCCGCTCCACGCTACAGCCGTGGGCGCGGAGCCGGGGCGGCGGGTGGCGGCCGATTCTGGCCGCTCAGGGCTGGGCCCCGGCCGCGTGATGGCCTGACCTTGCGCTCACGTCTGTTTAATGAAACCAGAAAGGTGTTTGAAGAGCTCATCATCGCTATGTTCTTTGGGGGGTCTAGATTTGGCGGCTGGACAAGGCAGGATGATGAAAATTGTGTCCTTGGATGACTGGAGTTTCGATCTTTTCCTAACTTCTCATCGCTTTCCCACAATATCACTTCTCCCGAGAAGCGTTCTGGTCTCCCCTTCTCGTGGAGGGACACCCGGCTGTAGGAGCCCCCGGACGCCCACTGGCCTCTGCCGTGGGGACGTTAGCCCCACACCATCCTTGCCTTTCCATGGGTCCTTCCCACGAGGCCACGTGGAAGGAAGGGTTTTAGGGGTAGGTGAGAAGTATTTTGCTCTCTAAAGAAATTTACCTTTTCCCTTTTCCGTCCCGCTGAGCAGCTTGGAGCTCCTGGCGCTCTGGTGTGCAGCTTGGCTCCGTCTGAGCAAGCGGAAATGATCAGTCGTGTCCGTCTGCAATGATTTCAGGGCTCCCTTAAATCAGTCCCTTGTTGGAAGGTGAAGCAGATATCCGATAAGAGTAATACAAATTAACTGGAATGAAACCAGACCAACGTTTGTTGACCTGCAGCTATGAGCAGTCCTGCGCTGGGTCTGCGCCAGTTTGCTGAAGGCTCGAGCTGTCTCGGGTGGCAGGCTCGCAGCTGGGGTGGCTTCTGGCTGGGGAGAGGACGGGCAATGCCGTGCCTGCAGGCAGCGGGGTTGACAGGACCGTGCCTCTCCCCGCGGGCCCCAGCTCCCCCCACCTCTGCTCCCCACCCCGTGCTCGCTCTGCACTGGCCTCTCCATGTCCCACACGAGGAAAGCTGTCGGGGGGACAGGCGACCAAGCAACAGGTGCTTGATCGCAGGGCCCTCTCCCCGCCTCCCGCCGAGGAGCAAAGTGGGCTCCAGACTCACGCTGTACCTGCGACTGCGCACGACTTTGCTTCCATTCCTGCAGTTACCAACAATTCGTGTTGGAGAAAAATCGCTTTTTGTTTCTGCTCTTGTGCTCAGGGGTGCTGGGAGCATCTCCGGCGGCCTGAGAAGTGTGGGTGACTGGTGGGGCTGGAGTCTGACCACGCTGCTGGATGGCCTGCACGGGGGAGGCGCCTCCACAGCCGGCCCGCCAGGCGCTCAGGTGGGCTTCCGTCTGCTGTCCACTCGGACTCATAGCAGGGCAGTGCGTCACGGTGGGGCGAGGGAGCCAAGATGCTTGACCTGCAACACTCTGCACACTCTCTCTCTCTCTTTTTAAAGATTTATTTATTTATTTTAGAGAAACAGAGCACAAGCAGGGGAGGGACAGAGGGGGAGGGAGAGAAGATCCCAAGCAGACTCCCTGCTGGGCTCAGAGCGCGACGCGGCTCGATCTCACCACCCTGAGATCACAACCTGAGCTGAAGCTAAGAGCTGGATGCTCGACCGACTGCGCCGCTCAGGCCCCCCCCCGTGTGTACCCTTGGATGACCGCTAGGTTGAAGGCCAGTGGCTGGTGGTGCATCCCATTGCTCCTCCATGTCAGCACACCCACCTTAGCCACACACGCACCCCCGGACACCAGCAGGTGCCAGGCCGGACTGGACGCAGGGCATGGCGGGTCCACGTGAGCTTGTGGGCCAATGGGGATGGCTAGATCAGTGAGCAAAATGCCGTGACACGGGGACACAGGGCACCGAGGGACGGGGGGGAGCATCCAGGAGGCTTCCAGAAAGAGGCAAGCCTTTCCCCAAATTCTGAGAAAAAAATTACCAGTGAAGAGCATTGCATAGAATATGAATAAAGCCTCTTTGGGACACTGCTCCGTGCCTCTGACGTCTAAGAATATGGCACGCGGCGTGTTCCAGCTTCGCGGTCTGTCCAATGGTCTTGCGTTTCCCTTCGTCCTCCAGCCTGGAGCCCTTGGTGGGAAGTGCTACCTGCTGGGCACTCCGGTCATCCAGCAGCTGAGAGATCCTTCTGGCGGCGTGTGTGAGGTAAGCCGCTCTCCTCCTGGTTATTTCTTTGTGTGTGTGCGTTTTCTCCCAAGCATCGCTCCTTATTTATGTGTTTATTTTATTGAAGTAGAGCGAATATACCATTTAGGAGTTTCAGGTGTATGATATACCGATGCAGCCATTCTATACGTCCCCTGCTGCTCATCATGACAGGTGTACTCCTGATCCCCCTCACCTGTTTCCCCCATCCCCTGGCCCACCTGCCCTCTGGCGACCACCAGTTTGTTCTCTGTAATATACAGTTAGAGTTAGAAAAGTCTTGGAGACGTCGGGCAGAAAGGCCACGGACCAGGAACCCTCTCTGGGAGCCTGGCTGTGACTTGAAATCGTCAGTAGCCGCGGTCCGGGACAGCCAAACCTTTCCCACGCCCTCTGCTGGTCCTGGCATGCTGTGGGAAGCCAGGACATCTCTCTAAAACACCGAAAATACTCCCAACCAAGATTCTCGCATCTTCTCCTGGTTGGGAGGGGCTGCTCGAGGGCATGCAGCTCACCCGTGTCCTCCCGAGACGGAGCCCTTCTGATGTCCAAGCCCGGACGGGTGCACAGCTCAGGTGCCAGCCTCCGCGTGGTGGAGCCCTGATCCTTCGGGCTCGGCTAGAGCCCAGGGACGACAAGGGGGCTTTGAGGGAGGAGGGGCCGTGTGTGGCCAGCCTTGGACACCCCAGGCCACAGGGCTAACTTTGAAGCAAGCGTCTGATTCTCCTCCGACTGGTGGTTTCTCCTCCAGCTTCCCAGCACACCTTCAGCACTTTCCGAAGACTCTCCTCCTCCACATGGCCCCAAAGTCGGAGGCCCTGACACCCCCTCTGCAGCAGATCCCGCCATCCAAAGAGTGGCCCCGAGTGGCCCCAGAGGCTGTGGGGCCAGGGAGCCCTGGGTGCTCAGCCTGGGCAGCACAAGGTCAGTGGGATTCAGAGGTCGGCTCCGCCCGGGCCTGCCCGTCCATGGCTCCTCGCGGCAGCTGGATGCCACGGCACGCCCATCCTGAGTCAAGGGCAGGTGTGTTCTCACTGCAGAATGACAGGAGTGAGGCCCAGGGCAGGAGGCCATGTCAGAAGATCAATGCCAATGGAGGGCTTCAGTCTCTGAGCATAAGGAACAAGCCGAACGTTCCTCTAGAATTTGCCAGAGGCCTGGAGGTCAGGGAGCCTAATGGACACTTGTCCTCGCTGGCTCTGTGCTGAGTAGGATGCTCACGGGGCCTCATGGTCCTCACATGCTCTGCGAAGGAGGCAGCCCCACCTCGGTCCGGCGTTGCGCAGATGAGCCTCCGAGTTGCAGCCACGGTCCACGGTTGGTGGCCCGACCCTCTGGCAGCCATGGCAGCACATGACCTGCATGGGGGAGGACTGTCTGAGGGTGACAGGGGGCCCTGTGGCAGATGATGGGTGCCTCTGAGTGATGCAACAACACAGAAGGGAGATTCTTTCATTGTTACCAAACACAGACAGGTCAAAGTTAGCTTCTTCCCAACACCAGAGTAAGTCCACAGCAGAAAAGATAAAAGAAGATTCTAGAGGCCTTGCAGAGAGAGATGGTCACCTCTCTCCGAGTTGTGCCCGTGAGAGATGGAGGGCCTCCCTCCCCTGGAACGTCCCTGCCTCAGGGTCCCGGGCAAGGAGCGGGGACATGCACAAGTGTGTCTGTCCAGCCCCAGGAACCTGGGTGGCCTCGGGCCCGGGGCGCGAGGCTGGGGGCGGAGGGCTCCATGCAGGCTTTGCCCCGACGTGCACCACTTTGCAGGCCGGCAGCCCACGCAGCCCTGAGCAGCCTCCGGGCCAGCAGGTGGATCAACCGCAGCACCAGAACCGTGTCTGTGCACTTCGCTCTCTATAACCCTCCCACTCGACTCCTGTCCAGCGTGTCCCTTCGTGCCGAGCTTCTCCCTGCAGGGGGCCTGGCCTTCTCCCCATTGGTGGAGTCGCTGGCTGTCTTCCGCAGTGACTCGGCCCTGTGGTCCAGCCCCACACTTCCCGAGGTGGGTCCTCCTGCCTCTCCCCTGCACGTGGATCCCGGGGCTCCACCTGCGGCCTGCTCCCCACCTCCACCCAGATCCGCAGGGTCACAGAGCCCGGCACTCAGTACCATCAGTCTTTCTTTGGTTTGACATGAACGTTGGCCCGCCCCAGCACTGCTCCCCAGAGGGACAGAGCAGCGTCCCGAAAGAGGCTTTATTAGCTCCAAAGTGTTAACCGGAAGGGTCCAGGGGAGCTCAGCAGGACTGACCTGCCTGGGGACTGGGACGGGTTTAGCTCCGACCCTTACTAAGCATCCTCTCGCGGCTGGCGCTCTGAGTGAATGAATGCAGGCGAGCAGGAACGCACAACTCATCCAGGCAGAGATAAGCATAAGCAGAGCTTCAAGAAATTCCTGATACAGGAGCTTCGAAGGCTGTATGTGGCCAAGGAGCTGATAATATATATATATATATATATATATATATTTCACAAGTATGAGAAAACTCATCTCTGGAGCTGGGTGAGGACGGGAGGGGAGGACCCTGCCAGGTCACGCTCGGGGTCTGCTCGGGTATAGGGCCCGCGGAGAGCTCACCCGCGTCCCTCACCCCTGGCACGGTCCTGTCCGACTTTCTGTTTGCTCTGCTCTGTTGGCGTTCCCCCTACCAGCTGGCCCTCCTGCTGCTCAGCCTGACTCACCTCTGCTTGCAACTCTGCAGCCTGGCCGAGGAGGGTTTCTGCAGCTACTGTTGCAAACCAGGGACCTGGCTGGAGGTAGGCGCTCCTGTCGTTTCTGTGGGCAAAGCAGGAACAGTGAAGCCCTTACCTGGAAATGAACCTATTTCTGGTGGGAGACTGCTTATGTCCTGGCTGATTCCACCCGTCGTGAGGTCTCCCCCCGTCGTGTTCACGACAAATAGCATGAGATCAGCGTCCACTTCCTGCTCTCACACCGACGTTGCACCCTGAGCCGCTCGGGGGCCACGGTGGGCCCCTCCCCCGGCGCCCCCTGAGGCTCCTTTCTCTTCCCCGCTGCAGCTCGCCGTAGTGGGAGCCGGCCTCGCCTGCCACGCAGCCTCCAGCCACCTGGCGACGCTCGCTGGGGAGGTGACCGACCACTTCCACAGAGGACGCTTCCGAGGATCTATGGATCTCACTGTGGCAGCCTTGTGGAATCAGGTACAGCAGGGCGTCCAGGTGGGTCCATGCCCTGTGATGCTGTCCAGAGGAAGAGGTCACACACGTTCTAGAAGGTTCCAGACAAGGCATTTGTTCCATATTGAGGGAAATGCTCGGAGCTCGAGGATGAGGGTGAGCGGGACAGGGAAGGGCTGGAATCCATGCTGTGGGCTGGGGCGCCCTGGTCTGTGTGGGGACTCAGAGCACGGAGTTGCTCCAGTGACTCCCTGTGACCCTGAGTGGGGGAAGGAGCAGGTGTTGAGGTGGCGGAAGGGAGGCACCAGCAGACTTAGGCACGTCAGGTCTGTCCTCTCTCCTCCTTCTGCGCCGTCCAGAGGTGAGCGGTGTGAGCCACGGGGCGGGTGGGGCTTCACGTGGGGGTTGGGCCATCAGAGCAGGGGAGGGGGCTCCATGAGAGGAGCAGAGCCAGCCAGTGCACACCAGGGCGGGCAAGCCCAGGCGGGTCCTGCTGGCAGACGTGGATGTAGGTGGGCGGAGCCCCCATGGTCCGCTTCCTTGTCCTGCAGCCTCAGAGCTCACCTCCCCCACGCCGCGGGACTCCTGGAGCTCCCTTTTCCACCCAGTGAGGGCTGCCAGGGCCTCAGATGGGCTCATGCCCCCGGGCTGGGCCCTCCTAGAACCACCTAGAAGGATGGGTTATTCTGGAGCGCCCGGGTGGCTCGGTGGGTCTGCCTTCAGCTCAGGTCATGATCCCGGGGTCCTGGGATCAAGCCCCGCATTGGGCTCCCTGCTCAGTGGGAAGCCTGCTTCTCCCTTTCTCCACTCATGCTCCCTCTGTCTCTTTATCAAATAAAGAAAATCTTAAAAAAAAAAAAGAATGAGTTATTCTGTGAGCCGGGTGCTGACTGGCCTCCAGGCTGGAGGGGGTCCATGCACGATGGGGCCCCGAGGTCGAGCTTCACGTACAGGTTGCTGGCACAGAGCACCCCCTCCCGGCCTTCCTGTCTCTGTTAACTGTCACTGCATCCTCATGGCGCTTACCAGCCTCCACTATGACCTGTGTTGTACTGACTTGGTTAAAGGGCTGGAGGCTCCCGGAGGGAGGGAGATGGACGCTCTGCTTCACCGCCGTCGGGGGGCCGCTCTCTGGGACAGACGGCGGGCTCCGGGTCTGCCTGTCACGGCGCGTCCGCGCTCCTCGGCCCTCCTCCAGCTGGAGTCCAGCTGGCCATGGGCACCGCCCCCCCCAGCTGGTTCAGGGAACCACGGGCCGGTGGCCGGCTCTGCCCGTCTCTGTGCCCGCCTTGTCCCAGGGTCACGGAGGGCTGCGCCCAGGCCTCAGGAAGGGGCGGTACCCACTCTCTACGTGATCTTCTCGCGGTGTGGGCAGGGGCGGTCCTGTCAAGGGGGCGCCGTGGGGCGACAGTGAGTGCGGTCTAGCGTGCCTGGGTCTGTGCGCCTGCCGTAGCTGGTGGGACACACTGACCTGCCCTGTCCTTCTGTCTCAGAGGGTGACCTGGCTCCAGGGGACCCTCTCGTTCCTCCTGACGCTGAAGTTCATCTGCCTCATTGGCATCCCGAGCACGAGGGCATCCTGCTCCTTCCTGCTGCGTCGCTCTCTGGCTGGCATCTGCACGGCAGGGGTAAGAGGGCTCCCCGGGTCGAGTTATCTCCCGACAGACCAGCACGGTCCGTGTTCTGTGCAGTGAGCCCTTTCTCCACGGAGACACGAGCTCTCAAAGTGAGGTGCCGCCTAGAGGCCCCGGCATCCTGCATCCCGGAGTGGTTTTAGATCAGGGGTGAAGGTGGTTCTAGAGTGAGGAGTGCCCGTGAACACGGGAGCCCAGGCGCACTCCACACGTGCTCTGCTGCACCCCTTCCCGGAGCACTCGTCCTTACGACTCATGCAAGGAGCTGTCACCACCCACGGAGCAGGCTCTGCACACCAGGAATGGCGCCTGGCTCTCTAGTAATTCCCGCCCTGATGATCACAACCAAGCGCGGCAGGTGCCGGGGTGGGGGGAGGAGGGAGGTTCTTCCTCGGAGAGAGGAGCGGGGTGCTAACTCCAGTGACAGACCCCACTTCCCTTGTTCCCAACTCTGGCCTTGCACCTGAAAACCCCCCTACGAATACCTGAAACCCACTTGAGTGCTGTTTACCCCCCACGCGGAATTGTGCCTCAGTGGGCTGCAGAAGAAAGCACGTGCGTAGGGTTCTCGGGAAGCCTGGCTCCCACCCGGGGGGGTCAGGTCTCAGTCCAGGGCTGGCCCAGTCTGGCGGGCTGTTGACACCCAGAATCAGGAGGGCCAGAGCCCCACATGGGATGCTGGCCAGATTCTGGGGTGCAGGTGATTCTGACCTGGCCCCCAGGGGGAAGAGCTTGCACCAGCCCGGCAGCCCCTGTCCTGCCCCCGCAGCTGGACTGTCGTCAGGGTAGGGGGAGGGTCCAGACTAGCTGGTCTGATGAGGGGGTCTGGCTGTCAGAGTCCCAGGCTCAGGCAGCTCACGGCGAACCAAGCACAGATCTCCAAACCCTGCTGGCCTTATGCTCAGTGGGACAGACTGCGCAAATCAGGGCAGGAAAAGCTGACCCAGGAGTTGGAGACCTGCCTTCAAGCCCGGCTGCACCTCTCCCGAACCCACTGTCCCAACCGTGGGGCTGTTACCCGAGCTCCAGCTCCGGAAGCTCCTGGCACGTGTGTGTGCCTGGTGAGGTACCACGGGCTTAGACATTACGTGTATGTGGAACTTATGTACTAAACTGGTTATTATTATACCACGTAGCAATGCGAAGAATGCTTTTTTTTTTGTTAAGAAAACACAGAATATCGTGAATAAATTGTGTCCAAATTAAGTAATGGAATCTGAACCGTTCAGAAATTAGGGGTGTGCAGGGAAGGGTGATCACACTTGCTTGGTCCAGATGGTGGACCGCTGGTGGGGTGTGATTCCACTTAAGGAGTAAATAATGGTGAAATGTGTGCCAGAGTATTTGTAGGGGGGCCTCAGGTGCAGGGCCGGGGCTAGGAGCGAGGGAAATGGGGGCCCGCGGGGGCCTGGGACAACAGGCCGCTGACCTGTCGTGCAGGTGAGTTAGATACACACACATACACCCTGGGCCCAGGGTACAACCCCAGGCTCCTAGGCCAGGTGCCCAGCCTGTTACAACAACCAGACCACAAAACTTCACCTGAACTAAACTTAACTGCCTTTGCTTCTTAAGTGGTTTATTTTACTGAGCGCTTGCTGGGTGCTGGGGACATGAAGAGGGTGAGAGAACCAGCCCCTGGGACAGTGTGGCTGCCAGCAGCTAGGGTGGAGGGCAGGGAGGAAGCAGGAGAGACGGGGGGGGGGGGGGGGGGGGCAACTTGAGATGGAGGAGGGAGGGGAGTGGGCAGGGGTGGGGGGAGGGTTGGGGCAGGGAGGGAAGGGGGAGCGATAGGGAGGGGAAGGGGAGAGGAGGGAGGGAAGGAGGAGGGGAGGGAGGGGAGGAGGGCAGAAGGAAGAGGGGAGGAGAGGGAGGGGGAGGGAGGAGGGGAGGGGAGGGGAGGGAGGAGAGAGGAGGGGAGGGAGGAGGGGAGGGGAGGGAGGAGGGGAAGGGAAGGAGGAGCTGGGTGAGAGAGGTGAGGAGGGGAAGGGAGGGAGGGGGAGAAGGGAGGAAGGAGAGGGGGAAGGGAGGACGGAAGGCGAGGGAGGAGGGCAGAGGGGAGGGAAGAGGAGAGAGGAGGGGAAGGGCAGGAGGAGGGGAGGAAGTGGGGGGAGGGAGAAGGAGGGAGGGTGGGGGAGGGGAGGGAGGAGAGGGGGAGGGGATGAGGAGGGGTGGGGAGGGAGGAGGGGGGAAGAGAGGGAGGGGAGAAGCAAGGAGGGGAAGGGAGGGAGGGGGAGAAGGGAAGCAGGAGAGGGGGAGGGGAGGGAGGAGGGAGGAGGGGAGAGGCAGGAGGAGAGGGGGTAGGGAGGAGGAGGGAGGGAGGAGGGGGGAGGGGAGGAGGAGGGAGGGGAGGAGGAGGGGAGGGAGGGAGGAGGGGGGAGGGGAGGAGGGGAGAAGCGAGGAGGGGAAGGGAGGGAGGGGGAGAAGGGAAGTAGGAGAGGGGGGAACGGGGAGGGCGGAGGGGAGGGAGGGAGGAGGAGGGAGGGAGGGGAAGGGAGGGAGGGGGAGAAGGGGAGTAGGAGAGGGGGAGCGGAGGGGGAGGGCGGAGGAGAGGATGGAGGAGGGGAAGGGGAGGGGCAGGAGGAGAGGGGGTGGGGAGGAGGAGGGAGGGAGGAGGGGGAGGGGAGGAGGGGAGAAGCGAGGAGGGGAAGGGAGGGAGGGGGAGGGTGGAGAGGAGGGGGGAGGGGGGAGGGGAGGGAGGAGGGGGAGGGCAGAGGGAGAGAGGGGGAGTAGGAGAGGGGGAGGGGAGGGGGAGGGCGGAGGGGTGGAGGGAGGAGGGGGAGGGGAGGGGCAGGAGGAGAGGGGGCGGGGAGGAGGAGGGAGGGAGGAACAAGGGAAGGGGGAGAGGGAGGAGAGGGGAGCAGGGCCCCAGAGGGTGTGCATGAGACAGAGCCGGGCCACTAGGGATGACCTGATCAACGCTCCGAAAACCTCCTCTCCAAGCTTGTTATTTTAAGGCGCTTGGCGGCCTGCACACCAGTCTTGGGCTCCTAGGCCCAGGGCCCAGAGTCACGGGTCTTTCTCCCTGCAGCTGGTGGGCATCCTGATGCTGGCCGCCCGCTGCCACCTGTGCGCGGTCCTGCCAGGCACCTTCGCAGACTTCTCCCGAGGCCCGCTGTTCCGTCTTCCGGGAAGAAGCCGAACAGACACATCCCACCGTCTTTCCGGGTCTGACCTGTGGGCCCTGGTTTGGTGCTGCGGGGCCCTTTCCACAGTAGTGAGCACTGCGTGGTGGGGAATGGTACGTGCACACATCCCAGAAAGTCAGGGTGTGCTGGGGATTCACCTGCTGTCGGGGCAAAATTCTCCGTGGTCCGCGTGCACCTTTCCGCATGGACTGAGGCCACCTGCCCTGCATTGGGCAGGGCTGGACATTGCTGCAACCTGAACAGGTCCAGCAAGAGGAGCATCCCAGAGTAACACCTCCTCCAGGGAGCCCCCGGCTCTCCAAGTGCTGAGCCACACCCCGTCTCTTTCCCAACCTCCTCTCATGGTCACTGCTAACTCTTGCCTTGTTATTTTAAACTTCTCATCCTATAAAGGTTTCACTCCATCAGCCAGCCTTCACTGGATAGGTTCTCTGGCTTCGGGGCTGAGTTAGGAGTGGGGCTCCCTGTTTACCACATTCCTACTGATCTACCACTTGCAAACATAGTCATTTCACACACACACACATCCCAGTGTAAACTCAGACCTTGACAATACTCAGACCTGAGCACTTTGTTTTTTTCAGTGTTCCTAGCTCCCTGCTCACTGCTCATCCATCCATCTAGTCTTCCATCTTCCCACCCATCCATCCATCTACCCATCCACTCACCCATCCCTCCACCTAACCATCTATCCATCTATCCATCCATCCATCCGTCCATCCATCCATCCACCGACCCATCCATCCACCTATCCATCCATCCATCCATCCACATATCCATCCATCCACCCACCCATCCATCCACCTAGCCACCTATACATCCACCTATCCACCTATCCATTCACTCATCCATCCACTCATCCATCCATCCATTCACCCACCCATCCATCCATCTGCCTAGCCACCTATACATCCACCTATCCACCTATCCATTCACTCATCCATCCACTCATCCATCCACCCACACATCCATCCACATATCCACCTATCCATCCACATATCCATCCATCCATCCATCCATCCATCCATCCATCCATCCATCCATCCATTCACCCACCCACCCACCCATCCATCCTTCCATCCACATATCCATCCATCCACCCATCCATCCACCCATCCATCCACCTATGCATCCATCCATGCATCCATCCATGCATCCATCCACCCATCCACCTATCTATCCATCTACCTATCCATCCAACCATCCACTTATCCATCCATCCATCCATTCACCTATCTACCCCTCTATCCACTCATCCATCCATCCATCCATCCATCCATCCAAACATCCATCCACTCATTTGTTCATTCATGCACTCATTCAGCAATTACTTAAAGAATACCTATTGTATTCAAGCAATGGTGAAACAAACATAAGAGAACATGGTCCATAGTCCATAGAGGAAGACATGTGTATAAACAAAAAGTTATAGCAATTTTTGTATTTTTGATACATTTCTTTTATTGGATATGTGGTTTGCAAATATTTTTCCCATTCCGTGGCTTGTCCTTGTCATTCCTCTAACAGTTTCTTTAGCAGAGGTTGTTAATATTTATAAAGGGCAATTTATCAATTTCTTCTTTTATAGATTCTACTGGTGTCCTATCTGAAAACGAATGGCAACCCCACGGTCACATACATTTTCTCCTATGTTTCCTCTAGAAGTTTTATGGTTTTATGTTTTAGATTTAGGTCAGTAGTCCATTTTGATTTAATGTTAGTGTAAGGGACAAGTTTCAGCTCAGAGTGAATGTTCTTTCCTGTTTGGGATATCCAGTTGTTCCAGCACCATCTTTAAAAAGCACGTTGAGGGGCACCTGGGTGGTGCAGTTGGTTGAGCATCCAGTTCTTGAGTTCGACTCAGGTTGTGATCTCAGGATCCTGAGACTGAGCCTCGTGTTGGGCTCAGAGCTTAGCACAGAGTCTACTTGAGATTCTCTCTCTACCTCTCTCTTCCCCTTTGGCTCATGCTCAATCTCTCTCTCTCTCAAATAAATAAGTCTTTTTTTTTTAAAAAAAAAAGCACGTTTTATTGTCAGCGTATCTTTGTCACAAATCAGTTCGTGGTTTCCGTGAGTCTGTTTCTGGGTTATCTGTTCTGTTCCACTGATCCATTCTGTCGCCAATCCCACACTGTCGTGATTACTAGAACTCTATAGTAAGTCTTCACATAGCGCAGGTGACTCTTCCAGATTCATTCTTTTGCAGTTTGGGCTGCTCTAGTTCTTTTGCCTTTCCATATGAATTACAGAATCAGCTTGTCAGCATCTATGAAACAGCATGCTGGGATTTTGCTCAAGATTGCTGTGGATGTGTAAATCAAATTTGGAGAGAACTGACATCTTCATAATAGGAAGTTTATCAACCCAAGAATCCTGTCTGTGTCTCCATTCATTTAGATCTTTCATGTCTATCTTCAGTGTTCTGTAGTTTTTAGCAAATTGCATGCAATTTTATTTTATTTATTTTATTTTATTTTACTTTAGAAGTATTTATTTATTTGAGGCATCTCCTCAAAGGGAACAGCACCTGGGGTGGGGAGGCAGGCATCCCAAGAGTGAAGATGGTGGCGAGGCCCATGCTGGATTTGGGAACGATGCTTGGAGCCAGGCATGGTGGGCCCTGAATGTCACACTAAGATGATGAGGTGCTTGGGCTTTATCATCAGGAACAGGAAGGCAGTGGTACCCGGGGGTCCCTGAGAGCAGGAGTCGGGACGCATTACCGCAGGCTCCTGGGGCTCATGTGGCTGGTAGAGCAGGGAAGCCTCAGACCCGCATATGCTGTCTGAATGGACAGTGTCCTGTCCTCAGGCATCTAGGCATCCCTGCAGGGTTCTGACACGTGGCCAGGGGTTCAAGGGATTTAGGGCTGATCCAGGAAACAGATAAGACCACGAGAGACATTAACACACACAAGGTGTATGTGGCCACGTCCTGACAGGGGTCACAGCCCGAGACTGTCCAGAGGCTGTGTCTCAGGGCCACCATCGAGAACCGGGGAAGGGCAGGGGGACGTGGGGAGGGGTGGGAGAGGGGTCTTCTGTGTGTAGACGTCGCCCAACAGCAAGTGGGAAGTCTGAGTCAGAGATCCCAAGGGCAGCAGCATGCTGAAGTCCGGAAACTGGTAACAGCTGTCTGTGATATTCACAGGGTATGCAAAGCAGGCTCTGAAATGGCTCAAACTTTGCTTGTTTGGACTATTTTTACAACAGTTGAATGCGTACAACTTTGAGTTTGGTGCCTACAGGCTTTCTGAGCAAGCAGGTCTCAGCCTGCATGCAGTAAAGAAGGAAACAAGCTGGGGCCGCTCTGCAGAGAGCATGTGAGCTCATCTTCCTGTCTCCTGGGCACAGACTCAGGCTCATGCGGTGGGGGCCCCCCCAGAGCCTGACGGGGCTGCAGAGCACCCCGAAACCAAGTTTGCATGTGGAAACGCACACCGTGTTGACAATCTTCGTCCTCAACTGTTAGAGACTGAAAACAGCCTTTATGTATATATCCGTTTATATATCCATCTTGATTATTGAATTCACCTTGTTGCAATTTAGTTCCACGCACCCGATTTTTTTTGCTCAGCAGTTGCTGTCTTACTAAAAGGTCATAAAATAGCATCATCAGATAGAATCCCCATTTTATAGTCTATCACATTAACGAAGCCATGTTTTGGTTGATAACATGAAATCTGTCTTTTCTTTCTTCTCCCCAGCTGAGAGGTTCCCTCGCGACTCTTGCTCGAAAAAGGAAATCTTTTCAAAGCCAGTCCCTCGTGAGCCTGGCCGATATGACTGCCTGCGTGCGGGGGGTGGCCCGGGCCTGGCTGGGGCTGGAGAGGCCTCAGCAGGAGGAGGTGGAGATGGCTGGGAGGCGGGTAAGCTGTGGGTGTTGGATTAGCGAGCACGATGTCTCGCCCGGAGGATGCTGTCCTTGTAACCTCACTTCGGTTATTCAAGCACGATGGGTTTCTGTGCCCCCGTCACTGCAGAGCTGTGGCATTTCCAGCACTTAGCAGATTACCAGGCAGGTTCTCTTCCCTTAACTCATGGTATCCTTGGATGACCCTGTGAGGTTAGAAAGCCTGAGTTTATGATTCCTCCCCCACCGCAACACACACACCCACCCCACCATGTCCCTACAGAACAGCCGTTTGCTTTTGGTTTCTGCCCTCCAGTGCCAGACTTCTCCCCAAACATGGGGACGTAGGTCAGCCTAGTCCCCCTGACATGACTGCAAGCAAACAAAGCAGGCATTTGCACACTGAATGCCCAGCTCTCCTTCACGACGGATACTTACATATCTCTGAGTACAGTTGCAAAGCCAATCATGTGCAATTGTGATCTTGGGCATTTTTATAGGGCTTCACTCTTTATTATGTATTTTACCATCCCTTACTGCCTTTAAACCCACGTGATAGTCCTCATATAGGGATTCTGAACCCTAACGCTTGCCTGCATATGACCCGGGACATCAGGGATGAGTATGCACACACGTACGTGACTTGGGGCATCAGGGACAAGTGTGCACGTGTGTGTGAGCCGGGGAGTCAGGGACGAGTGTGCACACGTGTACGTGACCCAGGGCTTCAGGGACGAGTGTGCACGTGTGTGTGAGCCGGGGAGTCAGGGACGAGTGTGCACACATGTACGTGACCCAGGGCTTCAGGGACGAGTGTGCACGTGTGTGTGAGCTGGGGAGTCAGGGACGAGTGTGCACACGTGTATGTGACCCAGGGCTTCAGCGACGAGTGTGCACGTGTGTATGAGCCGGGGAGTCAGGGACGAGTGTGCACACGTGTATGTGTCCTAGGGCGTCAGGGACGAGTATGCACACGTGTATGTGACCCAGGGCTTCAGGGACGAGTGTGCACGTGTGTGTGAGCCGGGGAGTCAGGGACGAGTGTGCACGTGTACGTGACCCAGGGCATCAGGGACGAGTGTGCACGTGTGTGTTAGCCGGGGAGTCAGGGACGAGTGTGCACGTGTACGTGACCCAGGGCTTCAGGGACGAGTGTGCACGTGTGTGTGAGCCGGGGAGTCAGGGACGAGTGTGCACACGTGTATGTGACCTAGGGCTTCAGGGACGAGTGTGCACGTGTGTGTGAGCTGGGGAGTCAGGGACGAGTGTGCACACGTGTATGTGTCCTAGGGCGTCAGGGACGAGTGTGCACACGTGTATGTGACCCAGGGCTTCAGGGACGAGTGTGCACGTGTGTGTGAGCCGGGGAGTCAGGGACGAGTGTGCACACGTGTACGTGACCCAGGGCTTCAGGGATGAGTGTGCACATGTGTGTGTGAACCAGGGAGTCAGGGAACTGAGATCAAGAACTCAGGCCCAGCACCCAGGTCTCTGACTCCAGTGAGCTTTCTCACAAAGCACAATACCATCTAAAGTCAGTGCCATGAAATGCTTCAGAAAATGAGGGGCAAAGAAAAAAATTCATTTCTTGAGGGCATTCACTAATCTAATTTTCTTTGCTTCAGAATTACTACATGGATGAAGTTTCCGATCTGCTAGATGAACTTCTGTGGAAAATTCATGGTTTGTCTGACAGCCTACAATGTCCTCGTCCAGAGCTGCAATTTGGTGATACGGGAGAGACCAGGGCAGAAGGCTGTCCCGCGGTGGGTGTTTCTGCCTAACAAGCCACTGGGGTAAGCAAATGAGAATTTATTTTTATCGCTCTACTTTAGAGCAAGAATGTTTTTTAAGTTCTAAGGGAGATATGAACTGGTTGCCACTCAGATCATGAGGTCTATTTGCATAAATATCCCCTCTGGGTAGGCAGCTGGTGGGAAGGTGCGCTGGTCAGAACTGAAGAACTGCTTAATCACGGAAAATGTGTCCTGTGACTTCCAGCTAATGATGGTGGCAGAAATATCTCTGTGCTCCCTGACCTCTGATTATAGCTGGGAGCAACAGAGATAGGGAGAACCAGAAATGGAAATTCCATCCTCCCAGACACCAGGAAATATCTATGCTCCAGAACAGGACCAAGAATCCCCAAAATGGTGGCCACTACAGAGAAAATTAGACCAAAGGGGGAGAGGATCCTGCCACTTCCCAGAGCACACAGAGTTCTCCAATCTCAACAGTACACGAGGGGGGTGGGGTGGTAACCAAAGGAAGGCCCCTGGTTTGGATGAAAAGATAATACAACATGACAGAGTTAAAGGAATCCCCTGGAACATGAGTGCTGGGGACACGGGGCTGAAGGAAAGCCATCTGTTGCAGAAACCATCTGTTGATGTGTAGCCAGGAGAGGGGCTGTTGGTGGCCCACAGGTCTGGAGCCCTGAGATGCACACCCTGCAGCAGGTACACGGTGAAAAGCCAGATGAGCATTGGGCTCCAGCATGACGTGTGTTCTTGGGGGGCTCCCTGAGATCCAGAGAGAGACCTTGGAGCCCAGACCAGCCACCGTCACACAGCCCAGTGGCATGCTCCCTGGCCACAGTGAGATGGACCCTTTGTGCAGAAGTGGACGCTCATAACAAACACAAATCACCACGAGGTGATGCAACATGCTGCCCAAGAAAGCAGTCGTTAAAGATGGCCATGAGGGAAGGAGATGAAGAGCAGGCCTGCAAAGGATTGCCACACACAGGTGAGATTGTAGGCAAGGTGTTCTCCGCACGCAAGACTAAATGCACAGAAAATTTCCCTCTCTGAAATAAGAGAGCAGAGCCCAGATGACAGAGCTAAAAAGTGGAATAAAAGCACAAAGGAGAATGGACAGAGTTGAGGAAAGAAAAGAAACAGATGCCAGAAACACGGGCTGAGCAAAAGAAAAAAGTAACAGATTCATCACAGAAAAGAGAGTGAAGGATCCAGATGGCAAGTTTGAGAACAAAATGAGATGAAAAAAAAAAACCCTAAAACTGATTTTAGGGAAAATCATACACATAGAAGTCAGACAAAGAAGAAAAGAAAAAAAGAAAGAACAGGAAAAAAAAATATTTGAAGATATAATTTACGAAAACTTTCCTGAATTAAAGATATAGATCTATATGTTTAAAGAGTAATTGTATCCCAGGGAAGAAATGGATTCAACTCTATTAAAACAAGGACAAATCTTAATAAAGTAACTAGAGTAAAGAACTAGAGAATCTTACTGATATCCTGATACCTTCCCTATCTATCCCCTGAAAATCAAGTCACTTCCAAGTTATTAAAATTATTTAAAGGTTATTTACTAATAATTACTTAAATTGTAAGAAAGCTATTTAAGTGTGCACATCATTAGCAAATTGGCAAATGATAGGAAAACATAATTGTTACAGAATAGGAAGTACGATGTCCAGTTGTGTGGAGAACTTAGAAGAAAATCTATGAAAAAAAAAGGACAGGTGCCCCTTACTGTCTTTGTAACATAAAATAATGGAAAAGTTCAATACAAAATTTCAGAAGAAAGATGATTCTGTGCATGTGTATTCATTCATACCATAAGGTTAGTGCTATTATTTCTAGATTCTAGGTTTAAAACAAAGTACCATGTATACCACTAACTTAGTGCTCAGAGGAAAGTAGGGTCTCTGTTATGGAGTGCAGCAAATGAAAATAAATAAGTCTTCAATTGAAATCATCAGGAAGATGTGCATATGCATATGCATGCACACACATGCACAAACTAAGCATTTGTAAAGATGAAAATGTAATTTAATTAAACCAGCAAGAAATAGCCTGAGATCAATCTTTTAACAACAATTAAATAAATTATTAGCTAATATGTAGCTAAATATGATGGAAGAAAGTGCAATAAATGCACAGAATAAAAATGAGAAAGCAAAAATTAAGGAAATTCAGTGAATTATAAAATATTTGGAACGCGAGAACAGCCCTCAATACTCTTTATGCTCCAGCTAACTCGAGTCAGACAGAAGCCTCAAGCAGCGTGAAGACCACCCTTCCAAAGGCACCTTGGTTCCGATGGTCCCACAGGTGACATAGTACCAAACTACGAGAAGACGCGTACATTCAAAATGTCCTTGGACTGTTGCAGAGCACAGAGACAGAGAAAGCTCCCAGATGCACTTCTACGAATCTAAGTAATGTATTGCTATCAAAATTGGGCAGAATATCTCTAATTTAAAAAGACAAAACAACCACATGCCAGTCTTACTGATTTTGATACCAGAATACCTAAATTGAGAAAACCCTATAAAGATGAATGAACCCTATCAATGAAACCGAGGATTCCAGGGAATCATGCATTGCCCCAAAATGTGGAACCCCTTCTCCCCATTGAAGGAGGGCAGGAAGCTTGCAGCTCTGTGGTCTTCACACCGGGCCACGGGCTCTGTGTGGAGAGAGGACCTTCCTGCCCCTCCTTCTGGAGCTGGCCGTGTCCCAGTGAACAGGGCGGTGAGGCTGCCTTCCAACATGCTGCCTGGGGCATACTGATCCTGATGCCCTAGAAACAAGTATCTAGAAATCATAAAACAGGACTTTGGGAATTTAGCATTTTCTCAGAAGAATACTGTTGTGATTGAAGGTTATGATCTTTATTAAGAATGTAATCTTGCTGGGGCGCCTGGGTGGCTCAGTTGGTTGAACACTGGACTCTCGATTTCCGCTCAGGTCATAATTTCAGGGTTGTGAGATTGAGCTCCATGTCAGGCTCCATGCTGAGCATGGAGTCTGCTTGGGATTCTCTCTCTCTCTCTCTCTCTCTCTCTCTCTCTGCGCTCCTCCTCCCCTGCTCATGCTTTCTCTTTCTTTAAAAAACAAAACAAAACAAACAAAAACAATGGCAAATTGAATCCAGCATCAGATTAAAAGAACAATATGCCATGATCATTTATGAGTTTTAAACCAGTCAAAGAAATGTTTTAATACCAGGAAACAGATTAGTGACCTTCACCAAGAAATGGCAGACTATCCCTTGATTTTCTCCATGACTGTATTTGATGAGATTCAACATCCATTTCTAATTTTTAATCTTAATTGATATAATTCAAAAAATAAGACCGAATGCCAAGTCAGTGCTATGTGTCATGGTGCCATGTCCAAGACCTTCCCACGGAGCGGAGGACGAGGGGAGATTGTCGGTTTGGAAGTCCAACAGGAGAACTTTTAAGGGATTTACTGGTCTCCTTCCTGGACACACTGCCCGAGTTGATACATCTAATAGCGGACAGCCACACTAACAGCGTGGTCGCTCGTGTTCCCCGCACACAGCGCAAGACCAGTTTCCTGAGGTTCGAGGACAATTGCACTCCACACCCACGGAGGCGCGGGGCTGCCTGTGGATCCCAGTTCCTGTGCCGCGACCTGCTGGCCCCACGCCGGACAGACCCTCTTTTGTATGATGTGACCTGAGCAAACAACCCGTTTGAATTTCCTAACTTCAGGGCAGCTGTTCTTCATCTTAGCCTTTAATAATTCAGATTCGTATTGTTATAAACTGGAAGGGTTGGTTTCCTGGAGCTCTGCGAACCGCCTGCAATCACATTGTTCTTTGTCTTTCTGGAGTGACTCAGTGCAGCGACATGCCGCGGGGCTGCCCGTCTCTGTGCTCTCGTCCTCGCCCACTTGGCAGCCGCAGGTGCCTCAGCATGCTCTCTGCTCGGCCGTGTCAATCCCACCCGGGGAGAGCTGCCCACCAGAGGACTTTGCCCCCAATTCTTCCTGATGCCCGGACCCCATCACCTCCCCCCAACCCCACCGCCCCAGGGACCCACTGCTCTGTGGGAGCGGCCGGGCCACTGAGACTTCAGTGCAACTTCGAGAGGCCAGAGGGGTTTTTCCTGCTGATTGTCCTCTGAATTCGCTTTTATGAATGTGGCTGAGTCAGGCAGGAGCATCCAGAAGGTCAGGAACATCCCGACCTCCGGTTACAGTCCGCTTGAGCGGTTTTGGTCCTTCTTTACAAGGACGTGTCATTCCTTAGCACCCACCTGCCAGGAGGGAAGCTGGGCATTTGGTGTAGCCGTGGAGGATCCGCGGCTCACTTTCCACCTCCATGGAAACCTTCGGAGAGGTTTGTGTGTGCCCTGTGAGTCAGTAACCGTCAGGACTCAGGGGGCCATCAGAAGGGTGGATTTTTGTCCCACTTCTTCCCTTCCCTTTGCCAGTTTGCGGGTTACCTTAAAAGATATTTGGAAGACTTGCCTTTCCTTAACGTGGACAGCCTACGAATGTCATAGAAACCCATCCAGGAAATTTGCTGAGCTCCCCCCTGAAATCCAGGACTTTTTGTGGTCCTAATCGGGTTCCATAAACCCAGCTTTCTGGACTCATGAATACACGAAACTCGAATCCTTGAGAAGAGAACAGGTTATGAAGGGTTGGTTTAAGGAAATATCTGCTTGGCCTGAGCACGCAGGAAGTATGGGCTCCTGGGAGAGGCAGGTGGGACTAGTACTCGAGCACCTGCTGAGTGGGATTTGGTTTTAAGCACTGGCTGGCTGGTGGATGGGCCTAGGGTAGTGACTTAACATCTTGAACCTCAGTGTCCACCCCGGTGAAGGACCAAGTACGGTGGCGGGCACAGCTCCCAGGGGCTGGGGGCAGGGGTCCAGTGATGTCTGTGTCTCCTGAGAAGACAGTATTCCTGGAACTTGGAAAATACAAGTCTCAGAATTGGGGGCAAAGTTCTCAGCAACCCCGGTGCCCACTTGGATCTGCAGCATGAAGGGCCTCTTTGTGGGAAG